TATGTGTACATGTTTTACACATTGGTGAGAGATTCAGTAAGGATGCAAGACCATTTCTTAAAGGTAAACGCATATATGTTAGTTGCTGTCACACACTAGCATCTCAGTAGGGTTTTCTGCTGGTATATACAGAAGAATGAACATAAACTTGGGGGTATGCCAGGAAAGAAATCACATAAAAGTAGTTTCAATATTTGAAGAAGTGCTTCCTCACAATGAAACAATGCAAGGGGTTGCATTGGTATGTAGATTTTCAAGATGAAATACAAACCAGAAAGTCCATTGGAAACCTTCTCAAATTCCAAAACACTGCAACATCCTGTATGACAGTGACTTTCTCCTGTCTCAACCTTTGCGAGGTAAACAGTGTTGGCGAATGGCGCAATGTGTCAGAAAGAATTGACTCAGGACCATGTTTTTTTTACCGGAGCATCCTGTGTTTTGTTGGTGTAGCACTCTGTGCACTTGCAATGGTCTTATTGAATTGAATGAGAAAACCCTGCGTGTTTTTGCAGCAGTGCCATTGTCCAACTCTTAGGGAGATAGAGAGGTGCAGAGAGAAGGAAAAAGTCTTCTGCTGAGTCACAGTCCCCGCATGGCTCGTGTCTGAGATGTCAAAGCTAATAATTCAACCTGTTGGCTGTTTCATCCTGCCCAGCAAATCTGTGACCTTCTGACTCTGAGAAAGAGATGTAACTTACAGTCCCTGCAGGGCTGTATGACATCAGCATAGATAAACAGAGGCCATCCAGGTGCCTGCAGTACAATTCACTGGATGCATTGCAACCTCTATTTATAACTTATATGACATTTTCGAGTTGGTAAAGTTTGTGAAGGAAAGTAAAATGTTTACAGTAAAAGCTGACATTGTAAAGGCTAGAGGGTTGTGTTCATACAAGGAGAATATATCATGATACATAACCATTGTAGAATCTGGGATAGTATGGCAGAAGGGTTCAACAAAGACACACACTGAAGCAAAGTAGGATATTAATCCAGTGTGTTTGCAACTGGTCTTTTCTTCAGATTGATGCTCTTTGGTACAGTTGAGTGTGGGTGTTTGTTTCTTTTTTAATGACATTTTTCATATTTACTGTACATTTGCATAACAAGCTCAACAAATTGGCCTCTGTCCACTTCTTAGAGCTTAGTGGTATACCCTATCTAATCATAATATATTAACAGGCCCCAGTCCAGATACGCCAGGTCTAGTTGTTGCACTCATCAGCTCACACTGCCTCATTATGTCTTTTTGGCTTGTAACTATATTAAGATACATTATAAAACTCTGCAGATTATAAAACACGTAGGCTGCAAATCCTCACAGAAGTAATTATTTCTCATAAACATTGTACACTGTGACTCACACGCATAAAAACCAAACCTAAAAATGTTATTTGATGTGAAACTGACATTAACAAGTCTTTGCATCATGTCTTGCTTACTCTGATTCCTTCTGGCACTGATTCCCTGCATCAACAGCCTTCCATCCCTCACTCGCTCCACTCGTTATTTATATCAGCTAGTGTCTTAGAGAGATGTCATAAACCTGGGTCATATAGATAGACCCAGTTTTACTTGGGCTGTGTCCAGAATGACTCCCTCTCATTCACTACTCCCTATATAATGGGCACTCAATAGTGAGCAGTAAATTGAGATCTTGAATATTTACTAATCATCATCATTTTGCAATATAACTGACAGGTATAAAGTCAAGAGTAATTTCTGCATCTGTAAAATGCAGCACATTGCATTGTGGGATCGGCAGAATGTAGTGTAGACTACTTTTTAAGTTCCATTGCAGAATTTATGAGGACAGTATAAATTTACACAATGTGGTCACTCAAATAAAATGTCAGACTGTTAATGTAGTGCACTCTGTGGCAAATTGGAAAGCCTTATTCAAAATCCAGCCTTTCTCAACAGTGTGTTGTGTGGATTGCATCACATGTCTCAATGCAAGCAATCTAATATACTTGTTTATTCACTTTTAAGCAGACAGCATTTGCAGGCTAAATGTCACCAAGAGAAGCAAGTCCATGGGCGAGTTGAGGGGTTGGGGTTAGTTCAGACATGTCTGTAATAACAGCAGGACAGAATGGTGAAGAAGACAGCAGAGATTTGAGCTAGAAAGTTGAAAAAATGAGAGAGAGCTTTGGTGAATTTTATGGGTATGGACTATGGAGCTGTAGGGTTTTTCTGTGCATACAAAGTGATTATTAAACTTTGGTAAAATCACAAAGGTTTCAGGGTCTAACTGCTGTAGTGGATGCAGATTTGTCTCCACGTATGGACAATAAACCCCATAAACAAAAAGACTAATGAGAGAAATGCTGAATGGGAGATTGCATTGAGTTACAGACACGAGTGGAATAGAGGCTAGCCTGGACACGACTCAGTGAGGTGTAAGGAGGATTTATCACCCCTGAGCACATCCCTCATAAATCAAAATACTTAGGATCTCTGTCTGGTTCGCCCACTGACTTCCCCGTGTGACAACCATAAACGTAACTGCACAGAAATTAAACATCAAATAGTTACCTAGTACATTTGTATTGTGTTTGTACTGTATACTGCACTTTCACATGGAAAGCTGGGGATAAAATAATAGAAGCACAACTTTTTTTGAAAGGACATTTCCTTTTCATGTAACTGTATGTGTCACCTGTAAGTGGTCTGGTGTTCCCTGTCTTCAAATGTTCAAGCAACAAGTGTATAGCTGATCAAAATTATCTGTGCTTGATTTGTATGTGGGAAGGTGCACATCATCCTATGCCAGGGCAAATAACATGGCCAAACCACACTGGCATAGACAGGATAATAAACTACACACATCTAGAACCTGGGCAATTACCACTGAATTAGAATTAACTGCATCTCATTACACATTGTCAACACAGACTAAGTTGAGAAATATTGGTTCATGGCTGAAAGCTTTTCTTGAAGTATATCTCCCTATACACATTATTGGTCTTGTATGACATAATTTGATTGAAGCTAATCCAAGGGCAACTGAGTGCCTTATTCCTTTATTATATGCTTAATATTAATTTATTTTTATCACTGTCCATTATTTTACCCTTGTAATTTCTTTATATCAGTGTCTTATACTGCTCTTAACATCCTTAAGAAATCAATAAAATGCTGCTGTTTATAAATATATTGAAGAGAACAGCTTATAGATGCATATTTATGGTGTGTGTATCTGTGTGTGTTGGAGAGAGCGAGATAGGGAGAAATTGATTGAATGGCATAAACCTCTATTCATCCATTTATTATTCAATTATAATGATTCAGTCACTCATAGTGATTCACTGAGAGAGATTGTGCCAGTAGACGCTAATAATGCTAGTCTTTTTGGCATGAAATTGATTTTTTTTTTACCAAAACAGTGACACTGTCAAGGAACAAGCACAACCAGCAACATCACTATACAAATACTCGCACGCAAATAAACACATACAAGACAAGCACGTAAACAAAACATCCTATTGAGCATCTTTTTACAGTGTTATTCCACGTGTGTAAACAGCAGACCTGTGGGTATGCAGGAAGCACAGTAAATGTATATGTTTATATGAATATTTGTAGGTGAAAGTGTGTATTTCTGGGTGTCTGTGTGTGCTCTTTGCCTGGGGGTGCTTATATGATGTGGTCTTATTAAATCAGAGCTAGAAAAGGAGGAACAGACAGGAGTGATAGAGAAACACAAAGGAAGCCGAAGCGATTAAACCCCTACTCAAACCGGCTTAGCAGTGAAAGCTTCACAGAAAGCCAACAATGGTTGCCTTCCTTTTAAATCTTCCTTCTCCGTTTCTTTCTTTTCCACACTCTCTTCCTCTCCTGCACTATTTACCCCTCCCCCTGTTCTCTCCCTCTCTAAAACAGATTATTTCTTTTCTCTTTCTTTATGTCTATCTTCTTTGGGGCACGTTAGGCCGCTTAATTTTACAATACTCATGTCAGGTCAAAACCCACCCTCCCTCAATCTCTCCAATTCAGGATAAAAAAAAGCTTCTTGCAGCATAAGGTATTACTGTATCTCAGACCTCAACCACCTCAAAAGTCTTCCTTTCATTCATTCATTACAAACCTCTTCCTTTCTTTTCATTCTTCTCTTTCTCTAAAGGAGTTTTAGGGGACTCTGGATTTGCCAGGTTGTTAATTGCACAGAACATTTTTGTCTGAATCAATTGGGAACTTGCATAAGTTTATGAGAGGATTAGATGAGAACAGGAGCGTGGGTGTGTGTTTGGAGAGAGGAGTAGAAGGTTGAGGTTATAGCGCAAATGGGCCCGATTTCTCACAGAACCATCATGTATCAAGAATTTTAAGCTTCACCAAAGTTTGTCAGCTGTAATATTTAACCCATTAACTTTCCACTGCAAGTCTAAATGGAAGTGAACTGCAATTCCTTCCCACCAAACTATGTGGAGTTATCTTGCAGTATGTCAAGGGATAGTGTTTGAAACAGGAGCCAGTAAATTCCTCTTACAAGACAAAGGGTCCAGTCCTCCAACTCCCTAAACCACTGTAGTGGACTGGATTAGACCACCTGGTGTGGTATTAAGAGGCGGAGGAATCCATCCCTAACCCCCCCCCACCAACATCCACATCTCCACCTGCACTTGGCATTGCCCATGAATGCCAGTCATTAAGACAGCATTACAAAGACAAGGCCTACCTCTTTCCCAACGGGCTGGCTCCACTTCCACATATAGAGCCACCATTGTTTTAAATGCCACTGCTCCCACCCCCTGGAGACCGGGTTTCCATTCACTGGCCACTGTGGCTAGTACACTCCTAGAGAGGAAATATGATAAATGTGTCCAACTCCGTCTGTCAGGGAGCGGCGGGACATTCTCTTTTTTCCCATGTGCCAACAGGTGAAAAGGGGTAAGCCCTGATCAGGTTACTAGATTTGTGTGTGTGTATGTGCATTTATCATCCATGAATAACACCCCCTCTCTTGTGTTTTTTTTTTTTTTTTTTTTCTCCAGGTGCACCAGAAAGGAGAAATGCGAGCGCTCATCAGAGCCCCGTCGCTTTGCATCAGACATCAAGCAGTGTGTGCGTCTCAGTGTCCACCCAAACAACATCTCAGTGTCCCAGTTTAGTGTCACGGTGAGTGAAAACACACTACTGGCTTTTCGTAATAAAATGTGGTCATATTTTAATTAGAAGTGCTTCAACATATTTTTTGTTCACTAAGGAAGAAACACTTCAGCAAGCATTTGTTTTAGTGGAGCCATATTGCAGTAAGCAGTGAGGCTAGCTGAATGTGTTTCTGGTGAGAAAATCTTGTCTGGCAGATTGACAATATCACACACTCAAGCATAATTTGTAATGCGATGTAATTATGCTCTAGATACTGATTAGTAGCCAGTGTTAACTCTATAATCCTGCTTTACATCATTTTACTGCCTGCCAACATGCATCCTTCAAATCCTGACCCTGACAACTTACAACTTACATTCCCGTCCAGTTGAAATAGTCTCACAACATATGTCAACAATCATTAACAGCACACAGTTTAGCTTCAGCTGTGTTTATTGTGATTGTTGGCAACTAAATGCAGCACTTTTTTCCCCTGGACATTTTGTTCTGCCACATTTCAAGGGTCTGAATGGTTTTTGAATGTTTAAGTGTATTGATTGGTGTGCAAGGAGCTGTGATACATTGCAACAAAAGTATGTCTCTGCAGGAATTGGAAAAAATACAAATGCTAGTTGGGTAGTTGTTTTGATTCTGAGTTTGCACTCAAACGTGCAAGAGTATGTTATATTATAACGTATATGCTTTTTTAGCTGATTAGGATTATGTTGCCTTTGGGTGAAATTAATAAAATAGAGACCTGTGGCTGTTTCCTCACTTTAACCCCTTGTACTGCTCCAGACTTGGATCCCACCACCAAAGGCCCATTCTGATTTGACAATTATTTCTCACTGGGACAGGAACAAGGCTTTGCTTCTAATGTTTTTAAGTGACCGTTTAGGTGTTTGTCTACACCCAAAGCTGTGTAATTTTACAGCATGCACAGGAGAAGATTGATATTGCCTTTACACATCGTTCTATTTTATGTCTTCCAAGGGTTACTGTTTTTCTTTATCAAAACTCAGTGTGCTGAAAGATATCCTATTTTAAAGGTTGGAACAATGAATGTTATGAAAATCTCTTTAACCATTTAACCACAATGTCACATTTCAATTCCCATTTCCTGTCTAATGGTGGTTTGGAAATGGCTTTGTATCTCAGAGACCAAGTGCATAAACATCCAATATGATTTTCTAAGGTCACGTCTGAATGACTATTCTACATCCGTGTTTGCTCTGAGGGTCACATGAGAGGTGTTGATTTTCTGAGGTATACCTCTGCATCACTCTAATGATATTCATGGGGTGTGGGTGTGGGTGTGGGTGTGGGTGTGTGTGTGTGTGTGTGTGTGTGTGTGTGTGTGTGTGTGTGTGTGTGTGTGTGTGTGTGTGCGTGTGTGTGTGTGTGAGCCTTTAGAGAGTGTTTAACCTTTTCCCAGCGAGCAGGCTTTACCCAAAGGCTATGCCACACATCTCCCATCCAACTGATTGCAGGGCAGAGGCTTGTGCCAGACAGACAGGTGCTCCTCCTTGACCTTTGTGTTATTAAATATTTGTTTGGAAAGATAAGCCAAGGCATTCTCGAGAGCACCAGAGACCCTCCACTGCTAAAATTAGAGCCATTCTAAGAAAAAATATATTGTTTTCTTTTACATTTAATTCTATGTTAATGTGTTAATAATTTTTTCACGTATTATACAATCATTATGCTTAAAGTTAAGTAAGAGTACAATATCAGTAGTGACATTAGGCTTTAAAATAGAGAATGTAAGTAGATAAAAAGTAATGTCAAAACATGTTTTTCTCCTCTGTATTTTTTCTGGTATCAGCTTTTGAATAAATTCTCACCAAATGTTTGCAGCCAAGACTTTTTTTCACCATGGCAACATGAACAGCCCATCATCACATATCTTCTGCATTAGATATGGTGTTTTGTAAACCACAGGAGGGCATTTGTGTATGCCTGTGTGCCCGTATGTTTCTGTTAACATGAGTTATTTTCATATTTATGCAGCCCTGCTGTGGCTAGACTTGGTCGTGACTATTCTAAATGTAATTGAGGAAACTCAAGGTCTGGCTGTATTCCCTCCTTTAAAAGGAAAAATAAATTAAAGCGAGAGAAGAAAAGGGTGAGAGGTAGAGTGAGCAACGATTGAGAGAGAGGATATGTAAGAGATAGAACCCCGGTCGTGCACTGTCCATCTTATGTGGGAAGCTGTGTATCTGTTCACACCCGCGCCGCCGTCTTTTCATTAAACAGCAATATAAAAACAGCGCAGGTCAGCCCTACTCTGCTGCTGAGGCAGCTTTCAGCACCACATCACAAGTGTACTATGGACTGCACCTCAAATCAATGCCTAGACCAAGGCCTGCTGCAGACATGCTTTTCCATCAATATGTATATTTTGGTCTTGACCCCACTCCACCTGCCTCCACGACCCTCTTTTTTTCCTTTCTTATTCAAGGACAGTGTTTTGTTTTTTATCTTCTTTTTCTTCCTGCACTACCTGAAACCAGTTTTTGCTGAGGTGCAGAGAGAGCTTACACAGCTTTTTCAAATGAAGAGGAAAGATTTGCATTCTCTATTTCCCAGAGTCCTCTTTTCCCTGTCCAGAAGCCTGTATGCCTGCACTTTTCTCTTCTCCTCCATTCTTCACTGTTTCATTCTTCACCCTCAGTCTTTCTGCTATTTCTGTCCTCCTCTTGTCAATAGTCTCTTTTCATCCTGCACTTTGTTTCAGCCATCTACATTCAATTGGCCCATTCCATCTCTTCTAACTCCTCATCCTTCCACTCAACCTGAGTTTCTGCTTTTACCATTTCTTTCACTCTCCTTCTTTAAAACGCTTTTTATTTTCTTGCTGAGCCAGAGAGTCAGCACATAAAATGGAACAATAAATCTATACAGCTCATCGATGACACAAGGCATTATGGGAGGTGACTAGGAAGCCTTGTGGCCATCAGATACGGGCTATTAACATGGCACGGATTTCAGTTTCAGGACAATCTTTGCCTTTCTGCATCAGTGTGTTTTAATGTTGTTTGGACGTCTGGGCAAGATGCATCTCATCACTGAATCTCTCATTCAACAGTCCCCCTGTGGCTCCTCTGGCCACTGACCACCCTGCAGATGGGCAGAACTTGCAGCTGTGCTTCTCGTCAGCAATATTGTGTTACAATCATATTTGAAGAACATATTGGCTCCAAAACACATCTGAAGTGCTCACAGATGTGGCAGTTTGAGCACTGTAGTCATAACAGTTGGGACATGGATCTAACTTCTTTATCTGACCATGGTCGCAATTATAAAAGGCACTTTGTCATGCTTCATCAATAGAATTAAACTGATGAATGATTTTTGCTGTGTCATGTGCTATTATGAATGTGAAGCCATTTAAGCTTGACTGAATTATCCCTACCTTTCTTTTATTTCAGAGTGTCAGAGCTACTGATCACTTTCATGTGTTATTTTTTTATAATAGTGAATATTTAGTATATTATTGCACAGAATGCTGACATCTTCTGTCTTTCCCTCTCTACAGTTGGTGTTGGAGGCCCATAATGTCCCAGAACTTTCTGCAGGTGTCAACTGCACCTTTGAGGACCTGGCTGAGATGAATGGCTTGGTGGAGGGAAATCGAATCAAGTGCTCCTCCCCCGCTGAGAAAGAGATGCCACGCATTGTTGTCGACAAAGGTAAGGGTGGACTTATTGCGGAATTTTTGCTCAAAAGGAAATGTACTTTTACATTGTAGCTGGTGGTGTATGTCACAGTGCTGGCATTTGATTTGATATTTACATTGTGAACATATACAGCATCTGTCTCCGCGTACATGACATTAACAGCAGTGATTAGCAAGAGAAAGCCTGCTGATAACCTGTCAAAGTGTGCCAGCATCAACTACTTATTAACATTAGAGCACCTGTTGAATACAAACATACTGTACATGTCTATCAGGGAATTATGCATTCATCTGGATGTTTTCCCCTCAGTCAGAAGCTACTCCTAGGGCTATGAGTGTTCTATGAATTTTTGTTTTCTTGTTGCCATCAGCAACTCAGTGGGCCTGGGAGCACTGCCCTAGGACATGTTTAGTAATTGAATGAACATTATTTATTAGACTGCTGTGGGATTTACTTACCACCCTCCCTCAAAGTGGAGATGCTCTAGAGGGGAGTTATGAGACCCCAGTTAACCCCAGTGCAAAAAAGGAGTGTGTCAAACAAGCCAAGTGTTTTTACTACAGTATTTCAGCTAATTTAGTGCCTGGAGATTACAGTCCCCATAGACAGTCTCAGTGTTTCCATTGCTTTCAAGAGGCAGACAGCTAAGACATTTCTGACAATATTCATTCCACGAGCAATGAAAGGAAAATATATTTTTCTCTCTCTAATTCCCCTGTTCTTAACCTCCCCTCTCCGTGGTCGCATAAGCCTGGTCTAATTGAACAAAGCTCCCATCTGGGAAGGCCTGTCCCCAGGCATGCAATCCTTCACCAGCACTCATTGTGTCCTCATGTTGAGATAATGAAGATGCCATTTCCTCCAATATTTCCACCAAAAGAAAAGATGCATAATGAATTAAAAGAGAAAATAGATGATCCATCAATAATACTTAAAATGTACACACAAAGGAATATTCACTGATGTTTTTAGACCCAACCACTATTGGTATCAGAGCTCTAAAGAAAATGGTATTCACAGCTATGTGTAAAAATTGTATCTATGAATTGTTTTGTAGATATTGGAGCCAGAAAGCAAACATTAGATAAGTATAGCCTTAAGTACAGACAGCTAAAGTGAGCAGACCATCATGAAAGAGACAGTTTTGGGCCTCAGCTGTACACATGTACGAATATGCAGCCAAATGAACAAAAGCTTCACACATACATACACTGCATGGACAAACACACAGCACCACTGCAATAAAGTAATCCACAGATAGATAGCACATGTGTACAGATGTACGGCTGACAGGGAGCCTGAGGGTGCTTTGGGGAATTAAAAACATTTGTTCAATGTTTGCCATGTCAACCACATGTAAAGCTGGTGATGCTGCCATCGTGCAAATATGTACTCTGAGGCTCACACAAATGAAGCATACAGCATTTCTCCCCATTTTTCGCTTCATTTTTCTCCAGCACCCGCAAACGCACACAGTTATATCCTTTTCAGGATTTGTCTCAGATGGAGGCAAATATTCCACATTTTTGCCTATATCTGAACCTTTCATCTTCCATTTTTACTAGTTCTCATTAGTCTTAGCTTGGTTGAAAGAGAGAAAAGATTGGAGAGCGACGGATGGAGCGCAAGAGAGAGGGAGGGATAGATAGTGTTAGCAGGCTTCAAGGTAACATTTAGGTGGCCTAATTAGGACAGATCCGTTGTCAGCGGTGCTTTACCGTGATTGATGAATGATTCCTTCTTTGTTAGAGAGATGGAGAGAGACACGGGGGAAAAGAAGGAGTCACAGTGTGGAAGGAAGCAAAGAGACCTGTGTGTAGAGATAGAGTGGGGATGAGAGACAGAGGTACAGAGGTAGTGTAGCGAGAGAGTAGTTAGATGTGTGGATGTGCTGTTGAATTAAACATGAACTCCTTCATTAGGGCCAGACAAAAGGACACTCCAAATACAGATGAGGCGCAAGCTTGCATACACACACGCAGTTACACACACACACACACACACACACACACACACACACACACGCACACACACACACACACGCACACGCACGCACACACGTGGTTCCTGTTTCATCTTCATCCCCCTTTACCTTGTCAAAGACACTCTCAAAGACTTTTCCAGGGGAATATTTTCCATCCCAAGGGAAATGTGTGTGTACCAGCTTCTATTGTCTCTTGTAAGACTAAGGATAGGGAGACTTAACCCAACAAAACCCTTCTACTCTCCCATTCTCTTAAGATACTGCCTTTACCACTGCAACAGGCTGAGCATCTGTGGCTCAAAGCAGTGCAGTCATCTTTCCTTCATGGGAAAATCTAATGTGACTAGACACTGAAAAAGGATATGTGAACAAGTGAATAAAATGATTATCATAGAGGCAGGGGTTCTTTAAAAGTGTCTACCCACTGCTAATGCTGGAAAAGTTGCTGTGACATCCAACCATTATCATTAGAATACACTTTTGTTTCTCCTATTTGCTTCAGTTGAATGAAACCTCTTATTAATGGGTTCAATAAATGAATTCTGAAACAAAAGCCATACTTGCATCTATTAGTTCTTGTTCTTTTACTCATCTTTTTACCTGAATATAAAATATTCTGGCTACCACTGTGTATCCAACTATTAATCTTGACTGTGATCTATTTTCTCTAGGTGACCACCAGATTGTGCAGCTCTATCTAAAGTCCAAGGAGACAGGCCTGGCATTCGCAAATACCAGCTTTGTTTTCTACAACTGTAGTGTGCACAAGTCGTAAGTCTATGAATAGCTTAAAAAAAACAAAAACGTTGTCATTGATTCTTAAACTGTTGGAAATGTATTATATACATAAGTAAGTTGGCATATTGAGCTTCTATGCTCTAGTGTATTTGCTGCTGTTCAATACTAATTCAAAGCACTGTCTTCCCTCTCCTCTGCTCTCCATTCAGATGTCTCTCATGTGTGAGCAGTCCTTACCAGTGCCACTGGTGTAAGTACAGGCATGACTGTACCCACGACCCTCGCACATGTTCCTTCCAGGAGGGCCGAGTCAAGAAGCCTGAGGTGAGTCCCAAGTCAGGGCTAGTGATAAAAGGGGTTTACTTGATTTAAGTTTTTCTAACTTTTAAGTTGACTCCATCAGAACGCCCCTGTAGGTGCTGCTAGGAGAGTGGAACACTCAATGGAGGGTTGAGCTGTTATCAGGAGGCCCAAAATTTCTAGCAGGACCTCCACCTTTAAAGACAATCAAACTACAGCCCATTAAGATGTTTAAGAATTTGCATACTTCTTAATGCTGGCTAGCTCTAGCCGGCTTCTTCGTATTGGGCCAGCTCAGTAATAAAGCATGGTGAAATAAATTGAGGGGAAATGTTTGGCTACGTGACACTAATAGCTATCATTCTAGGTTTCACATGCAAAAAGAGTTATGTTAAAAGGACTGAGACACCTTTCGGGTGTAGTGCTTCCATCTGGCATGGTCTCTTGGCATGTCTCGCTCTTGACTGCACATCAAAGGGCAGTAGAAACTAATAAAACTGAGCCATTTTCACTTGCCCATCCCTATTCCCTGCGACAGCTTAGTCTGTGTGAATTATCAATAGTATTGGCAGCCAGTTCTATTCCCGTCGAAGCAGAGCCCACTGTAATTAGGCTGCTCTGCTGCAGAGGACAAGCCACTCACTGGATGGGGTACATTCAGTGAATGCCCCCAACCCACCCACTCCCCATCCTATGAGAAAGGTCTCACTCAGATTTAGAGTCCCTGCGACAGTGGCGGCCTTCAGGGCAGAGCAAGTAGGTAAAGGAAGGTTTGGGTGAGTGCCCATGCATGTGTGTAACCCCTGGTACAGTATATGTGTATCAGCATGCTACACGTGTGTGTGTGTGTGTGTGTGTGTGTGTGTGTGTGTGTGTGTGTGTGTGTGTGTGCGTGTGTGTGTGTGTGTTTATCTGAATACAGTTTTTCCCCGCCTGTACCCTGCCAAATCACGGTAGTTTTCAGGGGGAGGCTTTTATAGGGAGTTAGTGGCCTGTTAATCCTAGCCTGAGGTGAGCTATGATGAAGATCACTAGTGCTCATGTCTGGGTTGGCAGACGCTGCACGACGGGCAGGGACAAGCTTAGCCAGATTGCCTCCTTTGATGAGCAGTCTGCTCTCAATTGTGTTATTCCACCCATGTTTCCCCCGAGCCATTCAACCTGCGCAGATGATATTATTTTCTTTTTCTGCCTTTTCCATTATCCTTTTGAACCTTCTGCTTAGTCAGGCCCAAGCCTAAGTCTTTGCAGGTTTACTTTTCCAATTAACTCAGGGGCTGGTGGTCAATATTGACTGAGGATAATAATGTGTGAATCCTCTCCTATTGTGTTGCTGACTAAAAGAAACCATAAATAAAGGGAAGGGGATTTAGTATTTGCACATTAATGACATCCCTTTTTTTGACGTGTTGTTTCAGAAAAAGCAGGTGTTTTGCAGGCTTAATGACTTTTAATTTGCTTTTAATTAACCCCTCAAATCCAAGGTCATGTGTTTCCTTCCAGATTTTTGGTTGCCGTTTTGAATTAATAACTTAGACACACACACATACAAGCTTAAGATCATGCAGACACACGCACAACTTTTCATGGAATCATTCCCAAATTTCATGAAAGGCAACAAGTCAACTTTGCTTTGTGAAATGGGATGGCCTCTTTCTGCTGCAGATGACTTTTTGTGTACTATTACAATTAAGGGATTTCAGGCATTGATCTGAATAATCCCTTAACACTATGCTAATGATCGAGGCCAGGGAAGTCTCCCTACTGGTTGAGCTTGTTGTTAGTATGCATGGCAGGACAGAGTTAAAGCCAGGCCTGAGCGTATAGTGGGTGCCTTTTTATTCATGCCAGCAATGATATGGGCACACGGATCAGATGTTTGCCAACCAAGGCCACGTCCCTGTTTGCCCTCCACACATCTCAAGGACTTAGCCGTTCTGATGAGCCTCACTGACAAAGAACATGCATGCAGCTTCACTTGATTCCTCTGAATAAATAGCCAAAAGTTATTCCTGACCACTACAGTTGCATTGATTATAGAAAAGGCTGTGCCTGTTTACCCAATAAGCAGTGTTAGTTTACCTGCATATTTATCACTTTGTCTTACTGCATCCCACATCCATAAAGTGCACACATAGCCTCACCTAAAGCAACTGAAACGGAGGACACTTCCAGTTCTCTTTGTCTAATGAAAACCAAAGGAGGATAGTTCCCTTTCTTCTTCTTCTTCTGTCTGTCTACATCACAGCATGTGCATCACCTTAGCTGCTGCCAAGCCTTTCCCTAATATATTCAGCTTGTTGGGAGATACAAAATACACCAAGATATTAATGTTACTGAATATATATCATTACCCCTTAGCACTTCCCTGTATTTGTTACTTCTTGTCTGTGTTATGGTGATCAATGCCTGGGAGTTTATTTACCAGGAACCTATTGATGAAGTGATCAAGATAATTTTATTAAAGCAGCTAAATGCCAGCTGTAATAGCTGTTAGTTGCCAATGTTGGACAGGAATGGAAGAGAGACGTGCTTTGGTTCGATTCATAGACAAATCAATGTCATACACAGGCACTGACTGCTGAGGAGTCAGTTGAGTATTTACAGAGTGCAGGCCAAAGGGATAGGTCGAAATTCACAATGAAAGCAAATTACACAAAATGGGGGGAAATGAAAAGATGCTAAAAGTGAAAGACTGAAGTGCTTCATAATGCCATTGAACTGCTCTAGGAAAGGGATCTTTCACGGTTGCATACAACCTGGATCTTATTTTTGTTATTTCTATTGGTAATAATGTTATGAGTCACTATACGAGTTGCTGAGATCAGGAAATGAAGCTGTGTCGCTGAAAAAAAGAAACTGTAGAATTATTATCAACTAATTGTCTGTTGTAAACATCACAGTTTACAGACTAACTACTGATCTTACCATAGCTGTAGGTGAATACAGTTTTTCTATGTAATGAGGGATTATTACAGACATTTCAGGTGCACTAACTTTTGGTTTCACCTTGGAATAAAGTTTTTTAAAAATCTGGCTAAACTGTTTATAATCCAGCTGATCGTCTAAATACTTATGTTTGTTGCCCTGTCAGACTTAATTGCAGCAATTCTGGCATGTTGTCAGATTCGAGCAATTACCGTAGTTTAGTGAGTAAAATGTTATCACAACCAATAGAAATGATGACCAAAACTATTAAACCCAAGTTGTAATACTTCTAATGTTCCTTTAAGAGCAAGGACAGAGGTGCAAGGAGAGGGACCAAAAATGGCAGGAGAAAAGAGGGAGAGGTATTTAGAAGGAAAAAAACTTAAGGTGAGGACAGGACAGTGGGATAGAAACAAGGTAAGGAGCAGCAGGAAAGGAGGAAGGATGAACATAGAGCGGGAGAGTGTCTTTGCCCGAGGCTCTGTAGGAGATGATAAAACAGAGGCCAGTTAAGGGGAGTTCTTGGTAACCACAAGGGGTGTGTGTGTGTGTGTGTGTGTGTGTGTGTGTGTGTGTGTGTACGTGTACTGTATGAAAACTTAAGATCCTCTTCATCTTCACACCTTCCACTGCTATAATTATGGGCTTCTCTCTCTTTCTGTCTCACCCTCCCTCTTCCCTTGCTTCAAACTATGCCAAGGGCTTTTACATTCACAGTTCCCACTGTGCTGCCTACTCTCTGTCACTCTCCCTATCTCCACCCTTCACACCTCCCACCAGCCTCCAATTATCAGATCTAAGTAGGTCCCAGAGAAGAAAAGAAGTCAGGAAAAAGAGGAGGAGAGAGAATCAGTGAGAGGATAAGAGATAAGAGAAATGAGAAGGGTCAGTAAGCGAGATAGGACGAATAACACAGGCTGGGTGTAGAGAGATAAATGAAGGAGGGATAAAACATGAGCATCATCAGAGATGAGGTCAGGGAAAACAATGAGTAAGTGATGGAGAAAGGAAGAATGAAGGATAATTATGTAGGGAAAAAAAGAGAAGCGGAAAGTTGGTTGCCAGGAGTCAGGCTTATTATGTGGTTATGATGAGTCATGCTTTTGACAGGTACTTTTCTTTTTCTAGTGCAAGCCTTTGATTACATGACTGTAGGGCTGTCACTGAAGTTCACATCTTCACACAAAGTCACATAAACACATACATAAACTAGTCTGCTTAACATCTAGAATGTACTTTCTCGCCTGCTGTTGACCCATGCAGATGGTTTTGGTTAAATTTGTCCATGTTTTAAGATATCTTACTCAGAGTTCTCTGCCTACACCCCAATGTAATAGGGTAAAATGAAATTTCCATTTAAATAATCCATTGAACATGTTGTCATAGGGAAATAGTAAACTAGAGTGTGTTAATGAAAACTGTTAACAGTATGTATGTATATGTAGGTTAATTCAGAGTAACCTGTGCTCTGTACCTATATCTTACTTCTCCACCCCACTTTCCGCTGTCAAACAGTCAACTGTATTGAAGAGTATGGAAGAGTTGTGAATTTGAATTCTAGTATTCTGTATGACGGCGCACAGCTACAATACTGTATGTGCATATTTACGAGTATGTGTGAGTACATGTAGGATGTGGTTATTGTGCACGTATCTGTGGTTTGCATTTGCTCCACAGTTATTTATCGCACTTCAGTCGTTGGGGGTTGAGAGGGTGGGATTGGAAATAAATGCTCTGACATTAGATCAATTTAATGTTGACATATATCTTAACAGGCGACAGTGAGCATCACTGCCAACACCACCAGCATCGGTAGCCAACTAGCATATACACGTGTTTGTCCAAACCAATTTGGCCTCAGGGACTGCTGGCAATGATGACAGTGTGTTGTATCACTGTTTCTAAGTGTCTATGTATACACACAAACAGAAATATCTGAGCTAAGGAGAAAAAACACAGAGCACTGACAGTGTACACGCTTGTTTGTAGATTCCCTGCCACATTATGAATTTTTCATTGTTGTTGAAGCAAATAAGGCATCTGTTTTCTGCTTTTAAATTTTGCTGTTTCTTCTGTCACAAAACTTTAAAAAAGAGACTGAAGATTTTACTGATTTTGAACAGAATGACAGTTTGTACTTCTGGCAAGGTTGAGAGTGTGCAGTTGTTTGGGTGTGTACAATTTGTAGTAGTGGGGGAAGCCTGCTTCACAATTACAGAGCTTGGGAAGACTTTAGTTTATCGTTTTAAATAAACGTGTGTGTATGTGTGAAAGAGCGTGTTTACGTGTGACTATAAGATTATTAACCAGAGACTGCAAGGATGGGTATTTAAAGCATAACTGTAAAAAAGAAAATATGTATTCCGATGTCAGTCTTGTAAAGGGAATTGTGGAAGGTGGTAATGAAATGGTGAAATAGTGCCAACGTGTGTTTACATGTGTGTAGTCAGCGGCTGTTGGCATTTGCTTTTTGAAGTTTTCCATGACATGTTGTCATAAAAGCAGATGATGCAGAAGATGCTGTCTGGCTTTGACTTGTGGTGTTTATCGCATTCCAAGGCTGTGGTTTATTCTCTGTATGTGTATGCATACATATGTGTGAATACACTCACATGTCAGTGCGTGTTAACCTTGAATCTGCTTGCATGTGCAAAGTGTAGTTTCTGGGATTTAGGGTTTCAAACACTTAAGTGCATTTTAGCTGTGATGCTCTGTGTGACAGTGTGTGTGTGTTTGTATGTGTGTGTGTGTGTGTGTGTGTGTGTGTGTGTGTGTGTGCGCATGCACAATCATATCACCTCATCACCATATCCCACTATCAGTATAGATCCTCAAGATTCAGCTTTAGTTGCCGGGTTAAGTCATACCCCAGTGCTTCCCATGCCTTAATTTCCACAAACCAGATCAAATGTATTGTCCCTATTGTTCATGTGTATTAACTGGAAGAGATGTGATTAAAAATGGATTGCATCTCTCTTTGCTCTCCCACTCATTTTCGTTCTCTAAATACGACCCTTCGTTCTTAAGAAAATGAGATTTGGGAGAGCAAACACACATGCACCACCTCTTCCTTCCTCTCCTCCACCACTGAACTCACTCACCCTGTTTGTCATTTATCTATAATGACTTTGTGAATAGTGTCACAGAGCTTTCCCCTCTCTCTCACCACGCAGCCACCCAGTCAGTCACTCAGCCTAACCCAATCAAGTGGCTTTTAATGAACTTCAAACAAGTGTTATCACCCAGTTCAACGTGCGCTATGCTCCACTCCCCCCCCAGCTCCAACCATGCGGGGGCTCACCTTATCTTCTCTCCTTCTTTTCACCCTCTTTCCTCCTGCCTCTTTGACATGCTAAAGCTCCTCCTGTCGCATATGCTTAATGGTATTTTTTTGCTTCTTTCACTCACTCTGTTCTTTTGTTGTTCCTCTCTCATTTTGCCTATTTCGCTTCCTTTCTCTATCTAGCACTTGTCAATGGAAACATGAAACAGTTTAGGGAAGTGCTGTTCTCTATCTTTACCCTCCTTTACTTCCCTCCATACCTCTCACTTCTGCTTGTCAGTCACCTATTTTTGCCATTGCCTTTTCCCCCACTTGTTCTATCTGTCTTCTGTGTCTTTTGTTTTCTCTTCTCTGTCCATCTCTTTCCCTATCCACACCTGTCCTCCTCCCCTTTCCTCCCCTTTCCTCTCATCTCCTCTTACTCCTCTTAATCTTTCAGGCAAGTAATAGGTGCTCTAAATTTAGGCAGCTACTAACACCTGAATTGATTGGCTGTTAATTTTAGACCTCCAATTGCTAAGTGACTCATCTCTCTCTCTCTCTCTCTCTCTCTCTCTCTCTCTCTCTCTCTCTCTCTCTCTCTTTCTCTGTCTTTTCATTGTTTTCAATTTAATATGCTTTTAATGGCATGAATGTTAGAAACAATTATTGCCAAAGCGTTCATAATTTGAAAACAACAACAAACACAGTTCTAAAAAATAAATACAATTAATTAAGAAAACCAAAGTCCATTAAGAATACATTTCATAACAATACTATTCATTAAATACAATACAATAAGTAGATTAATAAAAACAACAAGAAAATACTAGGAAAACAAAGTGTGTGTGTGTGTGTGTGTGTGTGTGTGTGTGTGTGTGTGTGTGTGTGTGTGTGTGTTCGTTCCTTATGTACAACAATATATTGATTTGTTTCATTCAGTAATGATATTTTAATATTTAATATTTAATACAGTTTGTTTGTGATCAGTGACGTATTTTCTTCAGGAACACAACAACCAAACTGAAAGCTCTCATCCTGTGAATAATGACGATGGAGTATCTATTGAGTTGGCCCTTCACTCCCAGTGAATGTGAGCAGGTCCTAGGACTGTCTAATCATGAGACTCAGTTGATATCAACCCAATAGGAACTATCACAAATACAAGCACTTAAACACTGAAAACAGTACACAATGAAGTGGCTATTTCATTCAATTAAACCAGTGTTGGTAAAGTACTGTCCTGATGAGATGTGAGTGTTGATGGAAAAGGTGTGTACTTCTAATAACGCTCAGGGGGAAAATTACTTTACAGGATCTCTTTGAGTAACAATAATCTAATTGCAGTTATGCATTAAACCTAGTGATGAGACTTGTACTTACACACTATCCTTCCTTGTCTTTTTAACTCTCTTCCAGGGGTGTCCCCAGTTGCTGCCCGCAGATAGGATCCTTGTGCCAGTCAATGTGGTAAAGCCGATCACCCTTCGGGCAAAGAACCTCCCCCAGCCCCAGTCTGGACAGAGGGGGTATGAGTGTCTGCTGACCATCCAGGGGAATGAGCACAGAGTTCCTGCCCTGCGCTTCAACAGCTCCTCAGTGCAGTGTCAAAACACATCGGTGAGGATGAGTGTGTGTGTGTGTGTGTGTGTGTGTGTGTGTGTGTGTGTGTGTGTGTGTGTGTGTTCGTTTTTACTTGCTAGATTATGTGTGGTATCATCATTGACCACCGCCCACCCACACACTAACACAATCTCTATAAAAACGTCCCGTTTCTATAAAGTTTGCCTATAAAAGTGACCATAATATTTTTTCAATCACACACATAAAGCCACACACTCTGATTCCAGCTGAAGGTTTTTCCTCTTGTAGCTAGACAGTGGGTAGATGAGACAAGAGCCTGACTTTGTCTCTCCTACGCAACCATCCCTGTGATCATGATCCATTCACTGACTGAATAAGATATTGACAGCAATGAAATACTAGCATGAAAAAGGCTTTATGCTGGTCTTGATGCTAATCATCTGTTGATACAATAACATCTCATCTTCCTGTCTATCTTCATCATTCTAAGTGTTTGTGTCAGCGTCTGTGGGATTTGTGTGTGTAATCACAGTACAATCCAAATATTGTACTTTGATTGAGCAGTGAAGGAGGGAAACTGTAATTTAGCGGAAAATTATGATTCTAGCACCAATCCTCCATGCTGCTACTTTTACAGAAGCAAATGAAAAATAATCTCGTCTTTGAAAACTCCCTGTGTGTTAGTGAATTAGGTGTGTGTGTGAGTTCATGTGTGTATTCACTGTGTCTAAAGCCACCTGTTGATGATGTGTTTTGCATTAAAAGGAGTATTGTGATACCAGAGTCTTTTGGACTTAAGAGATAATAGACAGTTTAAAGTAGCTCAACAGCTTCCCTCTCTCTCATACTGACTTCCCCGACTCTACCTCATTCCCTCCTTCCGGTTGCCATGGTGATAGTATTTCTATGATGGGATGGAGATGAGCAGTCTTCCCGTGGAGCTGACCGTCATCTGGAACGGAGATTTCAGCATAGACAACCCCGCCCACAACAAAGGTGAGCTTGCACATAGCATGTGCACACTCAAGAGCACGTACGTGTACACACTTGTGTGTGTGTGTGTGTGTGTGTGCGCGTGCTTGCACATGCGCTCACACATACACACACTTATGAATCCATATCAGCTCTTTCCATAGTTCTCACAGTATCGTAAGAAACCATACACATACACTGCAGAGTCAACAGTGTCTTATGAACTCTCACTTTGCGCACACATATAGACACAAACACACAAACACATATTAAAGCCACTGCCTCCCTATTGTTGCCCTTGGAGCCGGTCTCCATGGCAACAGGCGGGCGGTGTGCTGAGGTGCAGCATCCTTCCCCTGATGTTTCTATGTAGAGTGGTTAACTTTAACACATCCTCTCTTACGCTTTCCTTCTGTACGTCTGTCTTTCCTCTCCCGTCTCTCTCCATTTGTCCATATGTCTCTCCTACACTTCACTGTTCTCTGTCTTCCGAACTCTCTAAATTCCGTCTTCTTGCCTCCTCTCAAATATTATTATTTCTTTCTCTTATTTGCTCTGTCAACACCTCTCTGGGAGTTTGGCAATCTATCCATCTCTGTCGCAACTGCCTCTCTCCTCCCTTCATTTTATTTTTCTCATCTCAGCAATTCAATGTGCTTTACTGGCATACATTTAGGCAGAGCAGTAGTGGAAAAACATATAGACACATCTGAACAAAATAATGTTCATAAATAACCAATAATAACAAAAAATTAACTGAAATGATTAATCTAAATAATGATACATAATATGATATACTAATTATTAATTATTATAATTATTATCCCTGGCTGGATTTGCTGACAGACAAATAGGTGCTGTATAGCATATGCTATATTTCACTGCCTCTCATTTTTTTCTGTCCAACTCTCCATCTACTTACGGTATATGTGGAATGACAGCTCAGTGCTGAATTTTTAAGCACTGAGCTGCTGAGCTTGATTCAGTTTGGCCACTGGCAATCCACCTCTGTGAGTGATCCATGCTGGTGCAGGAAAACAGCAGCATGCTGGGGGTTGTAGTTCTCTGACAGGAAAACGACTCATTTTAACCAAAGGCAGCGGAGTCAGTCATAAGAAACGTATTGTTAAAATGTGGATGAAATGCCAACATGACACAGTGCTGTAAGGCAAAGTTTGTACAGTGTTTGTGTGTGTTTGTGGTTGTGTGCATGTGTGTCTCAGGCAAATACAGAGTACAAAACATATCCTTGAGCATAAATGTAAAATCAGAAAAGAAACAAAAATTAGAGAAATGGAGGGAAATGCTTGAACTAGAGAATCCTCCTCTATCCTCCTCCTACCTTTGTTTGCCTGTAGAGGAAGCTGCTCCTAGGGCATCATTTGATGGACAGATCACACATGCATCTAATGGCAATTAAAAAGAAAATGGCTGGCCCGTTGCCATGGAGATGATATGTTAAATCTGTGGTGGGTGAGCAGAGGCGAGAGGCAGTAGTGTAGGAAACTCAAAGAGAGAGGGAGGGAGTGAGGGAGAGGGAGTATATAGAGATGATGATGATAGATGAAGAGATAATGAGACAAAGATATCAACGAATGTTGCTCTCAAAATGTTCAGTTTGTCGTTCGCATATTCAAACAGCAGCTGACAGACATTGAGAGATTTGGGTAAACAACCAAAATTTTAGTTTTGAAGTGTTTGTCCATCATTTTCGAGGCACAAAATAAATTTGCATGCATTTGCTGTTCTGTAATCATTTGTACAAAGGTTTCTCACTTGAGTTCTCCACTCTTTCTCCTTTTGTCGTTACCTTCTTCCCTTCCTTCCCCCTTGTTTTCTTTCCCTCCTTCTCTCTGCTTCTTTCCTCTCTCCTGCACAGTCCATCTGTACAAGTGCGACGCCCAGCGTGGAAGCTGTGGTTTGTGTCTGAAGGCAGACCCGCTGTTTGGGTGCGTTTGGTGTAAAGGAGAGAACCGCTGCACCCTCAAACAACACTGCCCCCACCCTGAGAACCAGTGGCTGGAGCACAACGGCATCAACAGCAAGTGCACCCACCCACGGATCACACAGGTGGGACACGTACCAGGACACACATGCAGTACATACTTTGCACATGAGCACCTATATGGGCAAAGCAATGCCAACATTAATGTAAGTCCATTTTCATTCCACGGCCATACATATACACATAATTATAGTGAACTGATGGGAATGCACTTATGCTCATCACCTTCAAGATAGTGTTGGCAGTTGATCATTTTAACATAGGCTGTAAGTCACCACCAGATAGTCAGTCTGACAGCATTTGTGAAGAACTATATATTTTACAGTGCAGTAACACATTTTTCTTATCAAAGGTTTGAACTATAATCATATATTTGAATCACAGCAATCATTTGAATATGCCTTTTTAGATGCCATTTCTCAAAAATGTTTATTTAAATTTACTCCTACTTCAATGTGAACATACAAACAGTTAGGTAGTCCTGGGTAGTAAGACATAGAAAGAGACAAATCATCCCCACTCTTATTAGTTATCAATCACCTCTGGGCAGATGTTCACGCAAACCCCCACTTAACCCAATGTGCTCCTGAAAACCGCAGACACCATGTGAAGCAAATAGACTTGACCTGTACAAAACATATAAAAGGGGCAATAGCAGAGTGGATAAGGGTCAGCAAGATGAAGGATAAGAGGATACAAAGGAAAGATGAATGGAAAGATGCCCAGATAAAGGGAGAGGAGGATGGATTGGGTTCACATGAAAGAGAGGTGGTGACTGATGGGTAGACTTAGCCAGAATAGAGTCACATGAGGCTGAAGGGGTGAGAGAAGACCCCAACACCCCTCCCCATTTCCCAGTGATAGATATGATGGAAGGTCATCTCTGCATCCTTTTTCCCGATGAGGAGTTAGGAGCAGATGGTGACTGACTAGAGATGAAGGAATGAAGCAAAGACTGGATAAAAAAAAAGACAGGAGGGGAAATCCCCTTTGGTGTCCTGGGGAGTGATGGCTTTGAATGGTTACAGCAGAATTTCCCAATTTTTCCTGGATTTTTTTCTGAATAAAGTAAAGGAGTGCTGTCAGAGGAAGATAGACACAGGAGAGAGAAGTCTGGAAGAATGGATACTGAGGACATAAGCTTCTACAAAACAGGGGCCTTATTTACCTTACTTATCTCACTCAGTGATAACCCCGACCATTGTGATTATTTTTAACAACTCTTGTGGAAGGTAATGTTATATTTTGTCCCCCATTGCACTTATTAAACAGTCTGTATCAGTAAGGTGCACTCAATCATTGCTCCACTCTAGTGTTTGTCTTCACCCCGAGCAGTGGATTTATTCCTGGAGATGGGCCCTGTATTTCTCCGTACATCCCCGAGGCTGCAGCAGGGACATATTGCAGCCTTCTCACGTCCCCCATAAAAACTGTCAGTGGGTGAGGAGTGAGGACTTTTCCAAGACGACCGGGGCCCTAATGCATTCTAATACGCTTCATTATAATGACATCTCCTATCAACAATATGAGAGAGGGAGACTCACATAGAAAGATGGAAAGAGAAAGGGGGAGAGAGAGAGAGAGAAGTGATTAAGCGTTTGCCTCTACCCAACCGTCAATTATCTTGTCAAAGTCACAAATCTAATCAACGCCTCATTGCGTTTCTCTCTCTCTCTCTCTTCCATTCTTTAGCTTGTTCCTTCTCCTTGACTATTTCTCTTTAAGTCTTCCTCCTTCTCCATCCTCCATATTTGCTAATAATTGGAGAGCCACGATGCATTGTGTGCAATCTTTTTAATTGCATGTATTGTAGCCCCATTCCCACAGGGCTCTTTTTTCCATTAAGATATCAGCAGGGAGTCTTATTAATCAGAGACATTGAACCGTACAATAACGATATCTCTCACATGGCAGCCACAGGACTTGTGTTGTGCATGACCTGGCTTCAGCGTGCCTCTGTCATTTGACTGGCTAGTTCCTTTCAAGCACAGCTACAGTAGTTCAATTTGTTCTAGTTTGCTTCTTTGAAAAAAAATCAAATGGCCAAATTGAAATAGTTTGATGGCACATGTGGTAGTAACATAAGGATTATCAACAAGCAAGAGCTTCAAGCCATAAGATAAAGCCACACTCACGCAGCATTCCTGTGAACACCGCAGGGGGTCACACAGCCTACTATAAACTGAGAAGCATTGAGAGTCCCAGCCTCAATGAAAATCCTTGGGATCACTATTTTTCAGGGCAATGGTGACACAGCACCATTAAAGCTGCGTCCCTGTCTGCAGCATGCAGCATGGAGGCAGAGACAGATAGGAACAGACTATTCTGTGTCCGTCTCTAACATCCATCCGTCTGTGCCGGCCTGATGATGTGTGTGCACACACACACACTCTCGTTGGCCGAAAAGTAATTGTGTGAGTAAAGTGCTGATGGATGTTGGAACCGCCTCATCAACAATGAGAGATGCTACTGATAAATCAAAGGACACTCTGATTACTGCAAAGATGTCACCCAATGCCAAGTTTTAAGTTAATCTTATGTAATATATTGTTGTGGTTTTCACTGAATACAGGATTGAGAAATGACAATCCCTTGACCCTGAGTCTTGACCTCTTAGCTGTCACTGAAGCTGTTATTTTGTCATTTATTGTTTCTTTTCTGCTGCTGTCTCTTCCGTCCTCCTACCCTTCAGCAAAGTAATTTTTTTATGAGTTATATAATGTGTGAACAGAAAAAAGTTAATACTTATCCCAAAAGAATTTGAAAATAAATATATAGCTATCATTGACCTGTTTGTCCTTCTACACCTGAACCGTCTATATTGCTTTTGCAGAAGAACCAAAACACTAAGAAGTAAGAACACTGGAGACTGGCTGAGCACTAACACTCTTAATCTCATTTGGGAAGTTATCATTTTGGGTAAAATATGCTTGAATAGGAGTTCATTATCAGATGCTAGTTAACAAACATTCCTGCTTTGCCACTACTCTAGGAAGCTTTTTCATGATAACAATACTTTATAAATTGAATATGCACTGCTGTGGCTCTTCCAAGACACACTACTTTCAGATAAAGTTGCAAATAAATTTGTAATTTAAAATAATGGCCTATAAAGCTAAAGAATGAGATCTGTTACAGTATGGACAAGGGGTTGAGAGACATGTTGCAGCTAATAGGTAGAGAGAGAAACAAACTGAGTGGCGTCACTTTTACTCATCTACAATTTTCACATCTAAAATTAACTGGGGGGTTTAATTAAATGGCCTCTGATCTTCTTCTGCCCAGTCACGCCATATATTGTTAGTAAAATGCTTTGTTTAAAAATCTTATACTCATGGTTCAAGAAAACAAAATCACATCTCCAAAATCATCAGTCTTAATTTGATTTTCAACAGATAACCCCTCTACGAGGTCCCAGGGAGGGCGGCACACTTGTGACTATCCGTGGTGAGAATCTGGGACTGGAGTTCAGAGAGATTCAGGATAATGTGAAAGTGGCTGAAGTGGATTGCACCCCCATACGCGAGGGCTACATCCCTGCTGAACAGTAAGTAACATTTTACACTAATGACCGAAAATAAGTTGCAGCAAGTAATAAGTAGCCTATCCTCACCTAGTCCTCATTTACATTCCTGCAGAGCAGTAAGCCATTTGAGGTAGCAGCTATTAACAGCACATATACTCATAATAACAGGTGATAATGAGCTTTGGTGTACAGGAAATCATTGTTTTGTCAACCAAAATCTACATAATATAGAGACATAATATAAGAGTAAAGTCTCTTTCCAGATGCACTGGAACCATATGGGGAAGTCAAACTATAATTTGGTACAGCAGCAAAGCTAAATCATGTATTCAGCGTAATTTTTCTGCTCTCCCTTCACTTGCCCATTGAAAGCACTTTGACCACAGCTGAGCACTTCATGCCCTACAGGGAGCTTGACACTTGAGTCACACACAGATACAACACTGTGTTACCTGTGTTACCCACACGACAGAGCCATAACAAGTCAGCACGACCAACTGATCATGAGTCAGAGTACTCACCTCAGGGTGTTTGTGTGCCTGTATGTGTAATGCAGCAAAAGAGAAGGTGAGTGACTAACAGAGAGAAAGAGAGAGAGAGACTGTGACATGACCAGTAAACTAATGCTAAATTGGCCTAATCCGTAGACCAGAAAAAATTGGAGTTTGATTTAACTACAAGTCACAGCGGTGCACATAGAGTACAAGAGACTTGTATGTGTTCTGCTGTGGGCAGCAAAGAACAACTCAGGTCTCAATATTTTATAGTAACACGCGCGTGCACTCACACACACAAGCACACATAGTCCTATAATCACTTTAGAAAGTTCAGGAGGTTACATTTAGTTGACATTTGAGTTTAATCCAGAGCTTTGGTTCCTTGCAGGTGCCGTCCATCAAATTATTTTAAACTAGTTTAAAGTTGGCTTATCAACAGACCCAGTGCTTCTTCTGCTAAGAAAGTAAGTTGTGTGCCAGCACTTTCTAAGCAAATGCTGACCCAGCAGAAGAGGAAGCTGTATTTGAGGTCATATGTAAAAGGATAGAGACTTTTTTCCTTTTCTGCCGCAAGTTGCCAGTATGCAGGAGGTGAAGTTGCTGCCCAATAATACATTATTTTATTGGGGTTTTAACACAGGACAATTCTTATTACATAATCTGCTCTGCATTTACTAGAAAGGCGAATGGCAGCAGGTTTTTGTATAGGCATTTTTGTGTGTGGTATATATGCATTTGGGTATATCTTTATATGCATTTTCTATATTTTTTTGCTTACATATTTCATAATTATGCCAATGTGTGTTTCCAGGATTGTGTGTGAGATGGGTAAAGCAGAGAAGAGCCAGTATACTGGTAACGTGCAGGTCTGCGTCGGGGTTGGAGAATGCAGACCAGAATTCATGGCAAAGTCCTCCAAGTACTACTATTTTGTGGTAAGTCTATACTTTTGGAGAGTTCCCTCTCACTATTTGATGTTTAAAAAGACTCCCAGATGATGGATTCATTCCATACAGTATTTCGCCCATATGAGCAGGAAGGCACCCATGCAGCATATGTCACCCTCTGCATGTTAGCACCTTGCTGGTTGCCAGTCCGTGTTCTCACCTACTGTGTTAATACTTTATGTACATGTTGATTTTCCCATATATTTGGCTGTGATCCAACATGGTGCGGTCTCCCTCTCAGCATTCTCATGCACTGGGAAACACTGATGGTTATAAAAACATTTTTCTGACGTGAACAAAGAAAACGCAGACGTTTTCTTTCAAGGCTCCGTTTGCACACAATTAGTCAGCATCAGTCGCACACACTCGCACACTCTGAAATAAATTTGCAGTTGTTCCCATTATGTACTCGTTTTATGCAGTGATATCATTTTTACTGCCATCCATTAATGTGCGCTGGCCGAGGTTTATTTCTCAATGGGGTCCCCATACAGGATTATATGATGTTAGGTCTAGATGTCATACCACACAGCAGGCTGGAGATGAGATTATAAGAAGGCCAAATGAACTGGAGGAGGATTTACTTTATACCCAGCTACCAGTGGACTACATCAGGTGCTGCAATGTCACTTTAATTTGAAAGCTTTCCACCACAGTATAGTGTATGTACAGTATTAACACTGAGAGGCCTTTTTACAACGAGAATACTCATTCTGTAGAGTTTTGTCTGAGGCCCACAGCATATTAAAAAAAACTTGTAGTCCAGTCATATGGGAACAAGTTTGTGTTTCAATCTCAGTTTTTTTTTAAATGCTTTACCTGTTATTGAGGTAGAAACAGTGTTTAGTTATGAATAGGGGAAGGATAAAGACCTTTCATTGTATATTGTTCAATAAAACATACACCACTTGTTAAAGTAATGTGAGTAGACCATTATAGTGTAGCTGAATCAAATCAGAAAGTTAAACATTTAGATTTATTTGCATACATTAAAAGAATTTAACAATGCAAACACAATTTTTTGTCATATTTTCCTTTTATTTATTTCCTGGATTTCAATCATTTTGCCCCATATGTTTAATACTGGGTATTTAAAGCAGTTAAGGGTGTTGAGCATTTATTAATTTTTGAGCCTTAGAATTTCACTGTTATGCATAATTTATTTTCCCATTATTATTAACCTTGATTTCACCCTCTGATTGACTTGTGACCTTTCAACCTCTGCCCTTTCTCCAGATCCCAAGGATTATCAACCTCAAGCCCAGCCGTGGGCCAGTCTCTGGGGGAACCATTGTCAACATCACTGGCAGCCACCTTGATGCTGGGAGCAATGTGTCAGTCATGTTTAAAGACCAGCCATGCACTTATCTGAGGTTAGTGGAGAACAATCCAGAGCTGATCCTGCCAAACACACTTAAACAGTCAATTAAAAGCTCAGTCAAGAGTGTTAGTCAAACTACAAGTAGTAAACCCACCTGACAGTTCTCAGATCAACCAATCAATTAAATGTCATGGAAGAAAAAAGATGTGGTGAAAGCATGTCTTCTTTTTTTATTAATAAAATCATTTTCTCTCATCTGTTTTGCATTAAATCACTGGAAAAAGACTATAGTATTATTGTAATCCACCACTTAACACTGATCAATGCGCAATTCCAAGTTCAGTCAATAAACTATCTATCCATGTCTGCTCAAGCAACCATTCAACAAGTCTTAAATATTAAATTAATATTGGTTTTTGAATCGTTTAATACTGTGATAAACAACAAGAGAGATGACCCATGAGTGTCTACACAATGTTGGATAAAAATCTATATTAGGTAACTGTACTGTCTATAACTAACTAATTCAACTAATTTTTCATCGTCCTATCATCTCTTTAGGAGGGGTGGGCAGTGGCTCACTTGCAGAACCCATGCTTCCTTGCATGGCTATGGAAACGTGTCTGTGTCTGTGAGCATAGACAAGGCTCATCTCCAGAAAGACCTGCGGTTTGAGTATGTGGAAGATCCCACCATCACCAAGATAGAGCCTGAGTGGAGCATCTACAGGTATGGTACAAGGGCACATTTCAGTCAGTTATCTTTTTTGTGGAGAGAAATATCCCTGCAAAGCAGACACTTGTCAGAAACAGACACAAATTAATGAGAAATGATGCAACAAATAAGGCTGTTTTAACCATCTAAACAGGATAATTTACATGAAAATTTACAGCAGCATAATTTTGCACCAGCACTGTCCAAGCATCAATATCACTCCCACTGAGTAATTTTATCACCATCTGTCAAAACAATCTGAACTGCCCTTTTAACCTTGTTGTCAATCTTCTCTTTCTCGCACACACAGTGGATATACCCCAGTGACAGTGACAGGAACTAACCTGGACATCATACAGACCCCACTCATCAGAGCCAAATATAACAACCATGAGACACTCAATGTAAGTGATTGTAAACACAAACAAAGAAAATCCAAGGTCCTCAAGGAGTACTTTTTTGTTATGTTTTTTGTTACACTTTTATTTGACATCTTTATTTGCTTTGATCCTTTGGTCAGAAATAAACACACATTTATATACAGTATACACACAAAACACACACACACACACACACACACACACACACACACACACACACACACACACACACACACGCCCATGCACAAAGTCAGGGAAATATCTTCCACCAGTATTTTTAAGTCCATAACTTCCCTTTTCAGCTAGATGTCCCAAAGGAAGTCCGCCATAGTGAATGTCAGAGTAATTTTCTTTTTTCCAGAGCATGACTAAATGCCTCAGTGCCACTTTTAGGTAAATGGGTCAAGGAAAAACCTCAGAACACTGAGAGGGCGCTATGAAAATTAACAGGTTGCAGTTGAATTAATCGAGAATGATGTAATTCCTCTCCACACCTTTGTAACAATAGAGACGTTTTGACACTGAACTAAAAACCACAAAGATTGCCCCTTATCAAGTTCGTCTACCATCTATTCACCCTTTCACCCAGGGGAGGATAGATAAAGCTATACAAGGGTCTCTGTGATCTGATTGAAAGAAGAGGGAGTAACAAAAGGCAGTAATGCTATCTTCATGGTCCATTTGAGCATGACCTTGCACTACGTTTAACATCTGTGCTCACATATGCCTGTACAGGGCATTGTATCTCCTGCTACTGTACAGACAGTTTGTACTTTGAACCAACATGAATTAAATGTTTCCCCACGTCTCACTTTCTCAGTCTGACACAGCTCAGTTTTGCAGTGAATGAGAGAAAAACAAAAATAAACATCCAAAGCATTTTCAAGCAACATTTGTGCACAGAGAGGAGGTTTTTTTTTTTTTGGCAGTAACCTTTCTCTGTCAGCGCAAGATCTATGGCAGTGATGTCCCAAAGACCTTGCAGGATTTGTCAAGTTTGATGTTCAAGGAGCCAATTAGAGTGACAACAATAGTGTGAAAAGGCTGTGTGGCAGAGAGGTTACTGCGGAAATGTGAAATGTCTGTGAATGAGACGGAAATGTCTGTGAATGAGACCTGTGCTGGTGGTTGATTTGTCAATGCCCGGACAGACAGAGAGGAATGGAGATGTTAGAGGGATATTGGAGGGCGTGTGCCATGACAATGATAGATCGGACAATCTGCACTTGTGTATATTACTAGCTGAGAGGTATGAATAAAGAAGAAGAATTTAAATCACATAACGTGTCAAATGACCAAAAACACCAGAGCAAAGACAGAAAAACACAAAACAAGAGACACTGTAATTGAGCAGTAAAGTGCTATAGAAACAGATAAGTGACAGAATAAGAATGTGTCAAAAGAAGGAAGAAAAGATCACAGAGAAGAATAACAGGATAAGGAATAAATAAGTGAGAGGGTGGGGGTGTCTTTCTGCAGGGTAATGAAGGAAGGGTAAGACCTAGTTGTCACACCTGAAGCTTCACACATCAAAGCCTGATTGTGGTGAGACTACACATGCTCTTTATCTGTCCTTCATTTGGTGGCTTTCTATAAGGAAAATACTCCCAACAGGTTCTTCTTTGCACTTTTTGAAACAGAGGAGCTTCCAGTTTGAATTGAGTCTCCAGTGGTAGCTTAGTGAAACCTGTGACATAAAAGATTCCCACTAACTGTTGATGGGATGTCTTGGCATATTGTAAAATTAGTGCATGTTCAAGTGCCAGTTGTTGTCTTTAGTTGCAAGGATTTATTATAATATTATAATATAAATAATTATGTTGAGATCCAGCTATTAAAAATTATATAAATAATGCAGACTGATGAAAAAATGAAGCATAATTTTCTGTATTTATATTTTTGTTTCAATTTGTATTTCTCGGCTTCCGCTAAGCGCTCAATTTCTTGTGCACAAGATATGTTCATTCATGCATAAATATAACTCCCATCTCTGTCTGTCTTCTGCCAGTTTTGCCAGGTGTTGAGCCCGACATCCATGCTGTGCCAAGCCCCAGAGCTGTCAATCAGTCTGGCCAGGCATCAAGAGGTGCCTGAAAGACCTGATGAGTTCGGCTTTAAACTGGATGATGTGCAGGCTCTGATGGCACTCAACAACACCAATTTTATCTACTACCCAAATCCCGAGTTTGAACCACTCAGTGTGTCTGGGGTGCTGGAGCTCAAACCTGGATCACCCATTATACTGAAGGTAAGAGGGTAGTTATCACACACACTTACTTACAATTAGTATTGATAGCAGCTTATTGACTTCTGGTGGAATTGTACTACCTACTCCATGATCATATGAGCGTTGTTTGCATTTGACAGAATTCTGCTGTCCAAATTAATGATTCATTCATTAAAAACTAGCAAATAAAGCAGAACATGTGTGAAACAAATTATTATTAAAAATAAAAATAATCAGCATGTGTTGATGACTGTATGTAAGACTATCGGAAACAAATCCAGTGTCATATTAACAGTAAAAGTAGCTCTGCCTATACTAATCATATATATATATCCGTATTGCAGATCATAATGTAGACTATTTAACCATTTATTACCCATACCTTTAACAATACAAACTCTAATTATGCATAAATTAATTCCTACAGGGGCGGAACTTCCTTCCACCGACCAATAGTGGTAATGGAAAGCTGAACTACACAGTTCTGATTGGTGAGAAGCCCTGCATGTTAACAGTGTCAGAGACCCAACTGCTCTGTGAGTCACCCAACCTGACGGGACGACACAAGGTCCTGGTGAGTGACACAGCACATGCTTACAAAGACAAGAGAAAGAGACACACACACACACACACACACACACACACTGACAGAGTCACATGACAGATAGGAAGACCATGGTGGAGGAGAAAGCAGACAGACCTACAAATCGATTGACTGTGTGACAGACAGACAGACAGGCATTCCTCATGTTGCTTTCTATCCATCTTCTTGTCCACTTCGAGACAGACGACTCTAATCCAATCAGCTGTGTGGTTCCTGTTACTGCCCACAAGCAGACAAAAGACAAACAAATAAGCCTTCAATAAGAAGGATTAGGGCCCCGGCAAACTCAATAAAGATTCCATTTGTGGTTTTAAGAGGGACCACTTTGAACAAAACGCTTCCTGACGTTACCACCTGAACCATCATAGACAGAGAGGGACACATTACTGTAAAACAGTTAGTAGATGCACAAATAAACAAAATTGTTTACACATTTGAATTGCAAATCAATATGTCTGACAGTTTTGACCGGGATTTTAAAGAGAGAGAAATGCTTCTTGGACCTAAAAGTGAATATTACGTTATGGTTCATACATATTTGTGATATGTTTTACCTTGATGAACACCATACTTCCTTGTGAGTTTGATTGCCACTCTATTTCTCATATCCACACAAGATGCTAACATATGGCCCTTCTTTATGAAAACCTTTTAAGGAAGTAAAATGTGTATTTATGTGCATGCAGTAATTAAAACAGGCCTCTTTATCTTTCACTATCACAAGGCACGTGTGGGTGGTAGCGAGTTTTCCCCGGGTGTGGTACACATCACGTCTGACAGCCCACTCAGCAGCACGGCAATCATTGGCATTGCTGCAGCTGGTGCCTTGCTCATCCTTTTCATCGTGGTGGTACTCATTGCCTACAAGCGCAAATCTCGTGAGAGTGACCTGACCTTGAAGAGGCTGCAGATGCAGATGGACAACCTTGAGTCACGTGTGGCTCTGGAGTGCAAAGAGGGTAAGAGGTTGATGCTGACGTGTGTAGTAGGTTATATGGATTTGCTGCCTTGGACATATTCAAAACTTTTTAAATCATTGATTTACTCTATTTAAAGAAGCACACTCATTCAGAGCAAAATGTCAAATCTCAGTGAAAGTACAAAAATTCTTTTCTATGTATAACTTTGTTAAGAATACTAAAAGTTGATTATGGGATCAATATGTTGGGAGAAGCTCATCAAATATGACAGAAATAAAAGCAGCATTTGTAGAGTGAACTTGTTCAGGAGTGAGTTAAAAATAGAGTATGTGCTAGACAGTTTTAATAGTATTCAGTATTGCCAGCACCCAGTGCTGCGGCTTAAGCAATTATTTTATGTTTATATATCTAATGAAAAGCTAATTGCTTTGTTTTGTGTGTATCTGGTTCATCCATCAGCTTTTGCAGAGCTCCAGACTGATATCCATGAGCTGACCAGTGATCTGGATGGAGCAGGAATCCCCTTCCTAGACTACAGAACCTACACCATGAGGGTCCTCTTCCCAGGCATTGAGGAACATCCTGTACTCAGAGATCTGGAGGTATTGTACAATATTTCACTGAAATTGAATTACATATGGAGTGTACACCATTTAATCAAGGAACACCTTGGGATTGGCTGAAGTAGTACTTGTTAAACCGACCTAATATTTAGATTTTGTCAGTGTCAGATTGTGGACTTGATTTGTATTGGTGACACAGGAAAAATATCATGTACAAAGGTAATAAAACGTTCTACACCGACATGCTTGAAGGAAACTATTAACAGCATTTCCATTTAATAAGTATTCCATTAGTTGTGTTGATCAGCAGTTCGTAGGAATTCTTGAGAGTGGACAACTATACGTATAAGAAGTTGATATTAGTTTCCTAGTCAAATTAGTGTACTTACTAGCAGTTTAATAGTGCAAATAACACAAGTGTGTGTACCTGTTCTTCAGTCTCTATCAAATAACAATCGCAGTGCAATTAGCCTTATTTGAAAAGAGAGCAAAATGAGCAAACAAATTAACAATGTGGTGGGTCACAGTAGGTGAAATTGACGCCGATGTTGTTTGTGTTGCTGTCTGGTAAACAAAAGCCTTTTGACGGCCGACAACAACACTTTTTCAAAACAAACAAGGCAGCCCTCAAATCAGGAGCACGCTCTCATTAATAACTGAAACGATATGAGACTCTGCGTCGTTTTCTCTCTCCACCTCAAAAACAAATTAAAAGTCAATCAGTGGGAGAAAAGCAAAAGAAAAAAATGAAGTCATTTATCCCCAGTGGTGACATTGATAGACAGCCATAATTGAGCAGGTCGTCTTGTTCCATTAAGAGAATGATGGACCCCCATTTCACTGCCCTCAGGGTTGGCCACTCCATCCCTGATGAGAATTTCCCAGTAATAAGCAATATTAATTATGTTTTAATTGGTATAAATGTCGAACTGTATGAGGGGTATAATGCGGAGTAGGAGCCTAATGAAAAAAGCAGCAGGCTTGTCTTAGGCGCTTGATGGCTGCTTAATTGTTATTGATGTGTCGAAGAATTTAAACTCAAGTTTTTGACTGTGGGCTGTAGATACTTAGAAATACCACAGGTGATGGAAGATCTGTGCGAGTTTACTGAAACATTGTTTTAGTACCTTTTAAATTTAAAAGCAAAACAGGCATTTAGAAAATTGCATGTGGAAAGATATCAAAATAGTCTGTGCATGTGCCAGCTCAATGAAGCCTGCTTCTTGACATTTTATTTGTTCCTTGTAACTGTTAAGCGTTATTCTTAGCAGTCAAAATCACTTCCTTTCCCTCTATTTTACCAACAATTTCACTTTACACCTGAAACCCATTTTGCTTTCTGCTTATGTGCGTTTTTTTTCTTTCTCTCTTCGCCATTATATTTCTTTCTTTCTTTCTTTCCTCTTGATCTTTACAGAAAAAATCCTGTTTCAGCACTAGTTGACATTTTACTGCTCCACCTGTCAACCTGCCAAATTCAAATATTCCAGTGTTCCCATGAATACTTTGTGTAGGTCAGGACAGTTTTTTCAGCACTGTCTCTCCATAATCCTAAGAGACTTTTTATATGTTGGGTCTATAACCCATAATAATTCACAGTTTATTTGGGTAGATATAAAAGAAGGCAGAAAACATGCATACACACAGACTTCCATGTGTGCCTGTATTCACACGCTCATATATATACTGTACATCCACAACAGATGCACACTGTACACATCTTGTCAGACACTATGAAATTAGACTTGCAACTTAACAATAGCTCCCAGTAGATTACAAGGGGTTCCTCCAGGAAAGGTTGAAAGACTGAACATATGCTGTTTGACAGCTGCATTGGGTACAAAGAGATGCTGTCTTACCATGAGTGCTCTTGACGGATAAAAAAAAAAAAAAAGGTGCTATTTATGAAAAAAAAAATTGAGAAAAGAAGCATGTGCAGTAAGTGACTTGTATAAATGGTGCAGGGACAGTCTGGGCTCAGATGAGGGGAATTCACATCACTGCACTCCTTTCTACTTGCATTAGTGTGGAACACAGCGCCATCAAAGTAATAAACATTCCCTCAAGAGGCTCACTGTTTTCCTGGCTTTATTCTCAACCTTCAGACTAAATGTAACTAAAGCTGGAAGATGTTTAACTCCTCATGTCCCTAGATTCTTTTTTCTTTCTCTCACACTCTCCCTGCTTTCCATCCTTATTTAATTTAAAGTATATGTATTAACACACAAATATTGCACAAGTAGAGTAAGTGAAGAACATTCTACATTAATTTATTAATTACTTTTATGTATTACTACCCTGATTTTCATGTGTTTACACTTATGTTCATATTTATAAACCTGATCTAAGGCAGAGAGCATATATTACATTCAAATCAACTGATGATTAATTAGGTCTATATGTCATCGCCTTGATTGTGCCACACATAATCTGTACTTTTTTTCCCTCTGTTATTTTTAATATGTCTCAAGTAAACATTTTCCTGTTTCCTCACAGGTGCCAGGCTACCGCCAGGAGCAAGTGGAGAAGGGGCTGAAGCTTTTCGGCCAGCTCATTAACAACAAGGTCTACCTGCTGTGTTTTATTCGCACTCTGGAGGCCCAGCGTGGTTTCTCCATGAGAGACCGTGGCAACGTGGCCTCCCTTATCATGACAGTGCTGCAGAGCAAGTTGGAGTATGCCACTGATGTTCTAAAGCACCTGCTGTCTGACCTCATAGACCGCAACCTTGAGAGCAAGAACCACCCCAAGCTTCTGCTCCGCAGGTGAGTAGCAGAACTTTACTCCGTCTAGAGCCCAAAGTTACACAGCTGGCACGGACCACTTTTGGTGGTGTTGCTTTGTTGCATGGAAGGGACTGTCAAACCCAATTGCTTTTCCTTTTTTCCCTCCTGATAAATAGTCAAAAGGCACTATGCTAAATATTTAAACACTGAACAACTGCCACAAACATTCAACTTTTTTTTAATTTAGGGTTGTGTTGTGCTTGGTTAGGGATAAAATCAAAGGTTTGTGTCAACCCAACAGGATATGCTTCTAAGTGTTTCCTATCTGTGACATGTTTGGATTAACTCCTGTGACCTTGAATTGCCGGCTCTGTCTCAGAGACACCGGAGTTCGTTGGCATGCACATCATTAGCAAAATAATTATGATTAATTAGCAGTGAATCCAATTTCAAATAGCTCAAGAGGAAAAAAAATACTCATTTATGAAAAAAAAGGAGAAAGTGAGACTGTGAAAGCTTGCACTCTAGCGCAATCACAATCCTCCCTTGGATTTGTAGTCAAAGCCTTGATGGCGTGCACTTGAACACAGTACTGTGTGTGATTATGCTTCCTGCCTGCGGTGTTTGGTAAATGTGATGATTATGGTTACTTGAGTAAACCGGCTTCCTCACAGCTGTTGTGTATGTGTGTGATGTGTGCATCCTCTACATATGTGCATACGGTATTGTATGTTGTTTTGCTTGGGGGTCGTCAATCAAGTCTTGACACCCCCAGATGATTTGACAAGCATGTCACAAATTAATTTGTCCATCCTATTTCAATTATTCTTCTAATTCTGCCTCTGGCTAAAAGCTTATCTCTGCCTGTAAAGACACACACAAATATGACAAGCATATATTTAATGCGGAGAGGACTGAAATCAATGCTCTTCATTATACCATCCACAAGACAGTGTGCATATTCACCTCATGAAAGCCTGTTTGGACTCTACTTGGTGATGCAGAGAGAGATTAATGCTGTCTGGGCACGAGGCATGATTAATTGCAGCCAGAGCTCACAGAGCATGGTGCAGCCACTAAACAATGGAGTAACCGCTGATCCTGGCAGTAGATACCACATAAGAGATGGCATGTACAGCAGAGACAGGGAGAGGTAGTCAAGGACAATGGAGACACTTAAAGCTTTGTCACCAAGTCAGGAAAGCTGACTACTGGTGCATGTAGAGAAGTAGTGAGATCAGCTCTTTGATCACTTAGTGTACGTGTAACCAGCTTGTTGTATGTGCTATAACCAGATATTGTTGATTTATTTCAGAATTTGATTTGATTTGATTACAGCAATTTAATCCTAAATTAACAAAGACTAACCAACAACTGTTCTTCAAGCACAGTCTAAATACAACACAGTGTCTTCTATCGCACTTTCTTTCCACATTCCTTCCCTTCCTCTCCCCCCCTTCCTTGTCATCAAGGGAGAGGGAGAAGAACAACCTGGCCAAACCTCCATAGCATTCAGCCAGCACTGGAGGGAGAGCACATGTTAACAACAAATGCACGCTCGGTTTGATTGCCCATTTGTCAAACACACGATTGTGATAGGCACTAACCAGACTGTCTTCATCTCATCCTTCCTCCTCGGATGCGCTTATTAGTCCTTCGACATCCCAGCATGCATTTCAGATGTGATGAGGCAGTGTGAGCAAGCTACGCCACCCCATAGTGTGGGCTGACTGGCATGTCCTTGGATAACAGCTGAAAATAGCCCAGATACACAGGCATATGGCTGTGAAGATGAAGCTTAATATTGTCTAGGAGAGATAGCACCCCTCCCTCTCTTCTTCTCTCTCTTTAATTTGTTCGGTCTGTTCTCTATTTCTTTCTTTCACCATGTTTGCTCATTTTGAGTGTTATTCTCCCTCACAATCAGCCTCTGTCTGCACACTCTCCACTGCTCTCTCCTCTATTTGTCTTCAGTTCTGATGCTTGTGCCGCTTGTGTCACACCGTCACTATCTTTATCTCTCTTCCTTTCTTATACTCGCTCTATCAATCTATATTCCCAGTTCTTCCTCCCCTCCTCCTTCCCCTCCCCTGTTTTCTTGATTGCTAAATCAATGCTTAAAGTGCGTGAGCAGGGTGTCTCTGGCACAGCATCTGAGCACGGCTACCCACTGCCTCCTCTTCCAAGAAATCTGGCTGTCTGTGTGTGTGTGTGTGTGTGTGTGTGTACGTTTGTGTGTCTTTTTCCTCTCTCCACACACAAACACACATCCTTCCATCTGTCCCATCTCAACCTGTGCTGAAGCACAACCACCAGGCAAGCTAACTAACGAGAGCCTTCCACAACCATCTGTCGCATTCCTTGCTGCATTCTCCTCCTTTAACTCCTCTCTTCCCCCCATTCCTCCATCTCTCACTTGCTTCCCCCCCCCAACACCATCCCTCTTCCCATCATGCAGAGTTAAACAGCCTGTTCATAGCCTTAAGTTTAGTTTGGCTGCAGTTGATGCGTCAAAATAGCAGTTTTGATATTGGTCAAAAGATGAAAGCCCAATATGTTCTTGCGTTGATCACAACCTTGCTTTGGCTCCAACGTGGACACACAATCATCACACACGGTTGCAGGCCCCCCTTGTTTAACTGTAAGGATAATTTCATCTGAAAGAACATTTGTGTTTGCTTGTGAGTGAGTAATAGATAGAATAAATGTCTGCAGTCAGTGTCTGCAGCTAGTCATCACTGTGAGACTGTTTGACACATATGATGACCAATCTTCCTCACCAGGAGCCAGAGTGGGAAATGGAAATGATTTCTGACCTCAAGCTGTGCTGTTTTAACATGTGACTGAAGCCACGGGGGGCTTTCAGATGCTGTTTCATTTTTGGTTAACACAGCTGCTCCTTTTTACAAGAATGTAGTCTTGAGATCAACTTTTTACTTCAATATCTGGTTTTGTTTGTGAATGTAATGTAATGTTTATTATGGGTCTTAAAGACACCATAAAAGGGTTTCTTTACCAACTTAATACGAATAGTATGTAGTGTTAAAATGATTAGTCAGTTCAATAATCAGTTTTTTATCATTTTGATTATTGACAAAATTGCTAAAGACTCGCTGGTTCCAGCTTCTTAAATTGTGAGAAATTGTTAGTCAGACAAAATATTTTCTGGGATGATCATTTGTCACTATTTTCTTAAAATGAATCTGCAAAATATCTTCAAGTAATCACTGCAGTGAGAGATCATTCTAAAGTGTAAACAAAAAATATCAGTAAAGGAAAGATGCTGTTTGATTGGATTAGATGGGAAGTTATTTTTAGGGCTTTATTGGTTAGATTTTATGTTCACATCTACCATCAAAGATTCATTCTTCTCCAGAAGGAAGTTTTTCAGAAAGTCATTTCATACAGATACACAAATACATGTTACTAGCAGCTACGGCCAACCAAAATGTTAAATGTGTGATGAAGCATGGATTCCCATCAACCCTACCTCTGTAAGCAGGGGGAACTAAGCGCTGCCAGGTCCCCTCTGCTCTAGATCATTCTCAATGCCCACTGCCCCTCTGACTGGCTGCCAAGTAGGCAAGCCTGACCATGCCAACACGCCACGGCACATTTCATTGCATTAACCCAAACATAGGTTGTGCTGTGTTTTGAGTAGCAGCTAAGGAGAGGTTTGGAGACGATTGTTTGAAAGTTGTAATACCAAATGCTAACGTTAGATCTTAAAGCAGCTCCGTCACAGTGCCATTTTTATCCTTGTTCCCCATAGACTGTGCTGTGATCGAGAATGAGCATAAGCAAACTGGTGTGGTCGTGCCAAGACTCCTTATTACTGCAGGGCTGGCACCCGCTGCCAGAAGCGTGCACAGACACACACACAATAAACACTAGTCAGCACACATGGTAATTTCTGAATACATACGCAGTGGGATTAATTTGTGCTTTTTGCACGCTAGACTTAAAACAGCCACACAGTTGTCCACTTACATAGGTACACAAAAACACAATATCTATTGGAAGTAAGCAAGGAAAAGGACATTTAAAAAGAAGAAAAGGGAAGGCCAGACTCAGCCAAGCCATTTCTTCTCGTTCTTTTCTTTATTTTTTCCTCCTTCCTTCCCTGTGCACCTCCTCCTTTCTCCATGCTCCTTTCATCCCTTTGATAGATGGGCTACATCTGTGGAAATGGAGAGGATTTGGAAGTGTGTATGATTACAGGATCCAGAGTGGGCACAGCCAGAGCGAGGGAGAAACACAGCAAGGACACATGAAAGAAAAGATGAAATGTGACCTTGTTGACCCTTGGATCTGTGGACGGAGGAAGGGCGGGAGGGGCGGCAAAATGAAAGTGCGGGCACTGTGAGAGGCAGGAAGTTAATCCCCCCCAGGTGTTGTGCCAGTGTTGGCGGGGGGTGCCAGGACAGCCCACTGGCACAGCAGACATTATGTCCCCCCTCATGCCTCCGTGTGGAGACCCTTAAAGAGGCTGTGTGAATGGTGAAAGGGGGGAGGGCTGCAGGTGGCAGCCGAAACACGGGGCAAAACCTACACACAGACACAATGGACACTAATCCTGAAATATTGATGCCTATGGTAGTTGCTCATTGAAAGCCGAGGGGAGAGTGCGTCAGTGTGTGTGTTTTAGCTGTTCTGACAGATTACCCACACACCCCTGCTGCTGGTCAAGAAGGTTGCTGTCAAAGGATATCCGATCCTTGCCTCTCCTCTTTCTCCCCTCACCACTACAGCTTTTGTTATTATGTATGCATATTAGCCATTCACACGGGATCAATCACACTGTTGGCCCAGGTCAACACAGACACGCACACAAACGCAGATGCACACCATTTTGCCACACCAGTGGAGCATGGATGCCAGGCAGAGAAAGAGAGGGAGATGTATTCATTCACTTTCTATTGTGCACGGATCGAGTGTTAGTCCAGTGAATAGGCAAGGGAGCGCTTGATAATGAGGCCAGTGTTATTACAGAGCTGCTCCAGCCCCTAACGACATCAATCCACTGGGATCAAATAAAGGCTTTTAATTGCTTTGCCTCATATTAAAATCCCCGCCGCCGTAGACGAGCTGCCCTTGGCATGCCTGAGCATAAAAGCCATTCAAAAAGATTGTCTGAAAGGCCATCATATAGCATGTGCAAGGGCTCTTTCAATTCATGTCTTTACAAAAATATTTGTGTAACGAAAGCCTATTCATTAGCAGCGGTCATCATTTTTAGCAGAATATTTGATGATGGTGTTGAATATTTATGATGGTAATAAGAGCGAGGGGATCATATGTTCATTATGTGCTTTGTGTCTTTCTGTTTGCAGGACCGAGTCTGTTGCAGAGAAAATGCTGACCAACTGGTTTACGTTCCTCCTTTATAAGTTTCTGAAGGTAACTCTTAAATTTTGGTTTTCAACTTAACTGAACATTTTAAGTTCCTTGGGAAAAAAAATAAATTTCACGCCCCAACCGAGTTGATGAAATCACTGTCACCTCACTGCTGTCTTCATATGTGTTTCTAAGTAATTGTGATTGATATCCATTAGTTACCTTTATTTTTAAGGCTGCAAATCTTTCTCAAAAATACACAGAAGACTACATTCATTCATACTTCATATTCTGTATTATACTACTTTTCCCTCCTCTGTGCTATTCTTAATTAAAAGCCGTAACTACCTTTTAAGATTCATTGGAGAAGTAGTTGTCCTTTTTCAGCTAGCCTGTATGCTGATGTCGATGTGCTATTGAAGAGGAGTACCTTTTACTCCACAGGGCACCAGTATAAACTTAAATAAAAATTCACCACTCCTCTCCACCCTTAAGTCAAACAAATGTCCTGTTTTTTCCCTCCATCTCTCCACTCATCCTTTTACTGCAGCTGGGAGGAGAATAAAAACAATGATAAATGGACAATCTCTTCTTTTTGATAAATGACAGTGTTTTCAGGAGAGAAGACGGGGGTGGCTTCAAGAGTCTGTCTTTTATGGCATTTTTCACTGTTTATCCATCAAATCTTTCCCAAACTTCATTTCAGCAAAGTGTATATATTGATAGGTTGTACAGTTTCTTTAATTTAGGGGAACTTTAGAGTTTGGGATGTGATGTTTATAAGTCTTGCTCAGCAACTTTGGAGGCAAGGCAGTCTGAAAAAACATTACAAAAAGCAACTACATTTTAGATAGATATTTTCTCTGACATTATTAAACTTTGCTGACAGTGAGTGGAGTGCAAAAAAGGCTTCAAAGTTTTCTTTCTCCCCCAAAACTTTTGGTCTGTTCCTGTCTCTCCAAATCTCTTTGTAGGAGTGTGCCGGCGAACCTCTCTTCTCCCTCTTCTGTGCCATCAAGCAGCAGATGGAGAAAGGCCCCATTGACTCTATCACAGGAGAGGCACGCTACTCGCTCAGTGAGGACAAGCTCATCAGACAGCAGATTGACTACAAGACGCTGGTAAGGGGTTCACCTGCCCAGGGGTCCAAGGGCTAAAAGGGGAAACTTAATATGCTTGCAGGGACAAGAGGAGAGAAAAGGGTGGTTATGGGTTGTCGGTCATGAGATGAGCAACGGGACATAAAGTTGTCGTTGTCACGCTTGACATGCAGGGGGCACGGGAGTGGCGACCTCACTTCCTGTTGAGACCGGAGCTGTCAAGGAAAAAGAGCAGGGTTTCGGGATGAAAGAGATTATGCATGTGAATGTGTCTGCACAAGCAGAGAGACGCTGAGACTCTCTCCTTTAGGAGTGTCGCGTTTATTCCCCAAGTCTGTCTGTTGTCCTCTCTCCACTGTGACGTGTCACTTGTACTCTGCATTCTGGGACTACAGATTTTCATACTCTCTCAATGTCCATGGAACTGTGAAATTAGCTTCAGATTGGACTTTTACAACAGAGTCACCCATACTCAGCTCACCACCCCATTTTCCACAATATAGATGTGTATACGAACTACACTTAAAGATAAATATATATTTAAATGGAAGCTTTAATTTTATGTATACTGCAGACATGCACATTTGGGACATTACATACATAGAAGATAACACATTTACCCTCTCTATTTGTGTATAAACACAAATACACACAAATGGGTATTTGTGTTAATCTTGTAATTCAGTTATTTCCACCAACACCCAGAGGCAGTACTGAAAGATCTGATGAATATCCTAATAATATTATAATTAGCTGGTTTACTGCTCATCAATTCAGGTAGCACATTGCTGTCTCTCTTCAAGCTCCAAGGAAAGAGCTGTTTCCCTGGTGAATGATCTTTTTTCCCCCTGCAATTCTCTCACAGACCCTTTGGCGAGCACAAAATTATTGCACTTCCATTGAGTACCAATCCACAGTGCAATCAACATTATTAACATAACACACACAAAAATCTTCTCTGCCAAGATTAAACATGCATTACAATCTATCTATTGCACTAAATCAACTTGTAAAGATGTTTTTATCTTTCCAGCTTGACTGCTGCAGTGGAAAATATTGCAAGAATCCTTACCTATAGATACCCAAAAACAGTTCCCACACGTGCAATATAATGAAAGCTGTCTTTTAAGACATCAAAAGGCAACACTTGGATACTGTTTCACCAGCAGCTTGCTGCCAGCCCTCTCCCTTACAGTGGCAGTCTTGTGTGTATTTCTGCTACAGGTGGTGAACTGCATCCATCCAGAGAATGAGAAAAGCCCAGAGATCCAGGTGAAGGTGCTGAACTGTGATACCATCAGCCAAGTGAAGGAGAAGATCCTGGATGCCATCTACAAGAACGTCCCACACTCTCACCGCCTAAAAGCCTCCGACATGGACCTGGGTACAAATCTATGTCTTGTCATATATAAATAATGTGAAAAAGCAGGCAAACAGTCATCTTTGGTGCATTAAATTTATGTAATTCTACTTTTCAGTTGATGAGGTCTTGCTCATGCAGATCCCTGTAGTTGACTTAAAGCTTGTCAAAACATTTATATCCACACAGTGTTGATCTCATCTATGTGCCTGGAGAAAAGCAGGCTGAACTTAGACACCCATTGATTTTACAAAGGCTTCCCCACCCCTCTCAGCCCCTCTTAAAAAGTACAAGTCTTCTTAGATACAGAGAAGTAGATTTCTTTTCAACCTCAGGAGACTTGACTTCCTGGCTCTCTCAGTCAGATGTCTGATATTGGTCTCTCCCCTCCCCAAACTTCTCATCGATTGACTTTCTTGTTGACTAGCGTCTGAGTCACATGATTGATCAGCTAATCAATTGAGACGCTCAGTGATCTCTTCCCTACAAAATCATTTTCCTAGTGTTCTTTTTCTTCCTTCCTTTTCCCTGAGTTGTATAACTGTATTTATTGGGTATCTCAATTGTATCTAACTTGGGTCTAATCTATTTGCGAATTACTTTCATGGCCCTCTGATTGGAGAGGGTGCAATGATACACCTTCTCTGCAAGACATCTAGCGATCAAGGGATTTGGTACACTCTGTGTGTGTGTGTGTACAATTCATGTACATGTACAAAACAGACGTGCATACTTGTGAGCGTAACAATATTATCCATTATTGTTGTCTGCCGATACCTACAGGCCATCTCTGCACCATGTGCCATACTTTTTATGGTTTAATATTGCCAGATGGATTTTCCATGCCCCTGTTGTGTGTTTGTAATAGCATATTTATAACCAACCCAGGATCTAAGATGGGCTGAGTGCATACCATGGGGAATCTGGCTGTGTGATAGCTAAGTGAAGAAATTGATTTAGCCTTTTGACAGCATTCCTGGATAAAATTGTTTTATGGCCCCCTTTGGGCAGCATGTGTTGTTCTATTATTGTTTTATTACGAAAGGGAATTGGAAAATTGTCAGAAATAGCTGGCCACTTGTTCAGCATGTCCGTGATTGTGAATAAGAGAAAGAGAGTAAATGCAAGCTAGCAAGAGAACATGCATATGGTATTCAATATTTTTTCAGTGCTATATTTATAGTATGTATCTGACATGCTGCACAGATTCGAAGAAATATCTCTCTTGTCCAGACAGACTGAGAGCACAAGTTTGACACATCTTTTCACACCTGTAGGGGTTTTTTTATTCGCCAGTGATGCTGTCGTAATTAGCATTTCTTGGTCTTGTGCTATTATGGTGATGATAATGCTCGAGTGGAAACAAGTCTTCCATTTGATTGTTTTGTTATTTTTTAACAAACTTGAAGTGAAGTGCTCTTCGTTTACAGGTAATATCAGTGGTTCTCAAGATCTCTGACACACAAACACACACCCAAACACAGACTGATTGCAATGGCTGATAAGGATAATGGGATTGAGGCAGGCCTGTCCTGAGACAGATTGGCCAGGAGTGTTGTTATCCCAGATATTGTTTTTAATTCCCCTGTGCTGCAATCCAAAGTCCCCTGCAGGGTTTGAGAGAAGATGGGGCCTGAGAACAAAGAAGCTGGGCCCTGGGGTGTGTGTGTGTGTGTGTGTGTGTGTGTCTTTGTGTCCGATGTTGCCACTAGTAAATGTGTGTTATGCATCTCTGTGGAGTACAGCAGTCACCTTCAGCTTTTCTCTTCACCATCAGCTTCCATACGCTCCCCAAAGCCCTTATCTCTTTAGTTGTGTGTGTCTATAATGCAAGCCTATACACACACACACACACACACACACACACACATACTGTTCTCTTCCTACTGAGTAGCAACCACTGGATTTGGGAATAGGAGTAATCTCAGTTTACTCTGGTTTCAGACCAAGTTTATTCTTTTATTTATTCCTTTCTGCCTTTCTTTTTTCTCATTCCTTCATTTGTTTACTGAGCCTCGACTAGAGACGGGTGCTCATTTGCATCTTTATGGGAAGATGTACTGTATAGACAAAAACAACAGGAGAATTTTTATTTCCAGCAGATTTTTCAGATGCCAACACAATTCTGGTCGATCCTCCAAAGACAGGCCTCATCATGCGCCACAGTGATTGCCGCTTTGTTTTCCTGTTTGTGATCAGAATAGGAGATGACAGTGGCCGATGCAAGTGGGAAGTACAGCAAGGAGCACAGACACAATAACGTATTCATAAAGCCCATGATGTCTGCAAAAAGAATAGAGGAATCATCTGCTTGTTTGTTTTTGAGATGGCTTTCCTTTTTCACTTATGATAATGTTGCTAGGGTATTGTGAGATGTTTCTATCAAAGCGTCTTTTGTTTTGTGCTGAGGTTGCACAGATGTAGGAACCCTGGTGTGTATGTAGTGCAGATGTAATTTGGTTGTAAGGTCATGTAAATGTCATGCTGTTGTTTAAATGAAAGACACTGTCATTTACACTGGAAGTTACTTTTTGAAAAGTATGGAAATTAAGTGATCTGCAGTCTTTGTATAAGCTATTGTTTTATGTTTACAGCTTTCTGGTTTCTCCATATCCTGTTGGCATGGATATGAGTCTGGTCTGCTTCTACCAAAGCTCCCAGAAATATAAGAGCAGCGCGGCAGGGGGCTTAGAGCAGTAGATGGGGGACTGACTAGAGGAGAGCAGGGACCAATAGCGCCTTCAGAGAGTAGAGGATAAGAGCCGGTGCTGCAGATGGAAAAGGAAGTGTACAAGCCCTGGGCATGCAGCTGTAATCACACCCATCGATCGCACCAGCATAAGAGATGGAAAGCTAAGAGCGGAGCGCTTCGTTCTAAAAAGAGTAGAGTGGGTGATTAATTCAGCTCGCCTCGTGTTACTGTCTCTCACGTGTGCTCTCATCTCTTTGCATTTCTCCTCTACTCCGACTCTTAAGATTTTGTATTTTTCTCCTCTTTTTGATTCTAGTCAGGCTTTTCATGACAATGTGAATTCGTTGTTCAGAAGAAAGCAAAGAAAACTTCAGAAGATGAAGATAGTGACAACTAGTTTTCTGGCAGAACAGATATTAGAACTTGTACACAACAAAATGTATCATTTCTTTTGTTGGTGTGGTTAAAAGGCTGTCTCCAAAGGCATTCTGTATCAGGACACCAAACATCATGGAGATGTGTTATCCAAAACGTAAATATTATCAAAGGAGTTGTGTCGCGTGAATATGGTTGGTAATATCCTGATCTTTTCCATTTTTTTCCTTTGCGATTGCAGAGTGGCGTCAGGGTCGAGGACAGCGAATGATCCTGCAGGATGAGGACGTCACCACTAAGATTGAAGGTGACTGGAAAAGACTGAACATGCTGTTCCATTATCAGGTATGATCCTATGACTGTATATTTAAAAATGTAGACAATGGCAACTTAAACTCATTATATTTCCCAACATAAAAAAATAACAATATTCTAAGTTTAAAAAACATAAAAAGTCTGTTTCCTTGGTGTACGTGATTGTCTATGGTGTGGGACACACATAGACACGTGTGCGCAATCTTTTAAAGATAATTTTAATTAACATTGACAGAAATGTTGTTAAAGCTTATTTAAGTAAAATTTCGAAGTTGTTTAAGATGTAGAAATACAAAGGGTTTGTAAAGTTTTGGATCTCACAAAAAGGAATAAAAAAATATTAGATTGCTATCTGCAGAAACTTGGGCCTCTGAGGCTTTTAATGGATAGATTACATCTTTTATTTGAACACGCTTCTTTCAAGAAAGGTACAGCTGTTTTAATCCCATTTCCAAAGAAAAGGTACACAAACAAAAATCTAAAACACATGTTGTGTCCAACACATTAAGAAAACCTTTTGATTCTAAGCACAGAAGCCTGATATTTACTATTGAACTTTTCTTGAGTACCTTATTCATTTCAGCAGTCTTCTTTGCCATCTGCCATCATCCCTCTACCTACAGTGTATATATAGCTGTCTCCAATGCCCTCTCAACTCACCTCCACATTTTCCTCTTAAGTTGTGTGACCTGATAATCTCCGCTAAGTTTCAAAACTATCTAATGGACTTTTCAGTCAAAGAACCTTTCTGGCTTTTGTAAGTCTTCAGCTGACAGGGACACACACACACACAAGCACACCACCAATACGCTTATCTGATTTATCTGTCAGGTGAAGGGGAATGAGGCAGGGCAAGGCAGGGAAGTGACCAACAACAGTGACACTTGGAAGTAATCCCTTACAGTATATGTGGAGAGGGAGAGAGGACTTGAGATAATATCTGATGTGCTGGTCAAGTGTCATCTTCTATATGAAGTGGATTAGTGTTGGCATAGACTTCATGTACAGAATAGACATATCTGTGGTCACAGACACACAAGGTATTATATGCGCACACACAAATCTACAGTTAATAGCACAAGGTAAGGTTAGAATTTGTTAAGAAGCATATACAAAAAAAAAAACCATCTCACTCATTAAACACACAAATGCTTTTATTCAGTGTCAAACGCAGGTTTTGTGCCTCATGAGTAGCAACCGTGCATACAGCCAACCAGAATGAGACTTGAAAAACAGGCCTTCTTTGTCAACATGTTAATAATTGGAGCAGCTAAGCAAGCAGCCACTGTCCCCTCCAAGTGCAGTTTGCACGGTGCCTAAATTAAATGTCAGCATCAGCAAGTGTCAACAGGCTTGGAGTACGAGGCGCGGGTGGAATGGATTAGGGAGCTGATTCAAATCGGAGATAAGATAATGAAGACAGAAGTTAATTCACTTTTTTTCAGGCCAGGGAATAAGGGCGCCTTATCCTTGACAGACCAAAAAAAAAGAAAAAGAAAACACTCCCATCCACTCAAAATTTGTCAGCAGCCTAAGCAAAGGGCGAGGAAGGGAGGGGACACCAGAAACACATTCAGACTTCAGTCAAGGGCATCTGCAAATCCATACTTAGCTTTACCTTAACTTAATTTCACTGAAATGTTATGGCTTGAGTTTAAAGAGGTTAAATGTATAAATCATTTTGTTGAAGATCTTGTCGCATTATTAATCAAATCCATTGATGCACTCTTTGATTGATGCCAACCCAGATGTGCTACTATATTTGGATTTGGGATGTCATCCAGACATGTTATCTAAATATTGTTTGTCTTATTAGAAGTTAACATGACACAGACACACTCAATAGAATCATGTGCTATCCTTTATTAAACTAATCTGGTTTGATTTGCCACCAGCCAAACTTACCCACTCACTCTGCCATCACAAACTCAGTGAAAAGTTAGATTTTTTGTTCAGGAAAACATCACATAAATTTGGCATTTGTGATATCAGATCTTTCTGTCCCCATAATGAGAGACACATCTCTCGTCCTCCTCTCTTTCAGGAAACTATGCTCCGCTTTCTGCCTTTATCCTCTCCTACAAATGTTATTTCCCCAAATGCCACTCCTCCATTTTATTATGTTCCATTGTGCTTTGCTCATGTTATATCCCTTCAACACATAAGAGCAGTGATCAGGGAGCAAGCTTAAGGGTGTTGGAGAGTTTTAGGGGAGGGGGCTCCCCACAAAGGAATAACAAGATCTGCCCTGTGGGCCTCCTGCTTACAATAATATAAACGTATTATGCATAAGGAGCAGATTGAGTGACTGGGTGAAATAATGATACAATCTTAATAAGACCCTGGCTGGCACACACGCAGACACACACACACACACACAAATATGCAGTATATGCACAAAAGGCCCCTGGTCTGTATTCCCTGTCCCATCCACTCACTCTTTGATAGAGATCACTTCAATTAACCCTGCCTTACCCTGCAGCATGGGTAGCCAGATTATGCAGAATAGGGGTATACTCTGTGTGTGTGTGTGTGTGTGTGTGTGTGTGTGTGTGTGTGTGTGTGTGTGTGTGTGTGTGTGTGTGTGTGTGTGTGTGTAGGTGGGGGCGGCACGGCTGGGACAGAGTGCATCCCAGTTGTGTTAATTGAATCCTGTTTGGCTGACTGGGGAAGGAGGAGCGCACGATTGACTCATTCATTCATTTACACACACTTATTTATACATAGACCAACACACACACTGTTTGATTCTTCACACCTTAATATACACAATCTCAAACACACACACACACACACAACTACCCAGCCCTGGAGGAAAGGTATTATTGAATAGAGACTGTGGGACATCCCCTCTCACACAGGCCTGTGCGATGCTCTGCTAAACTCTCCCTCCCCCCTGTCAGTCATCATATGTATGTGTGGGCTGAATAGAGCACATAAGGGTAATAAGATATTCTGTTTATCCACATGAAACCAGAATAGATGAAGTGAAATATAGAAAATGACACCAACACAATGATCTATGGGTTTTCTGATTGGTTGTGTTAGAAATCTGCACAAATGAAAGAACAAAATCTCTACAAATGGCTTTTGTTTTGAAAAGTCATTTGCATAAAACGTGTGCGTCTGTTTTTCAGGTACCTGATAATGCAGTAATGGCCTTGGTTCCCAAGCAAGTTACAGCCTACAATTCTGTAAACAACTCCACTGTGTCTCGAACTTCTGCAAGTAAATATGGTAAGCCTACATGTTTCTGTACATCCTCAAGTTTCAGTAGTAACTGTGTCAGAAAGCCAACTTCCCAACAGACCTAAGACCAGGCATACTGGTAGAAACTACATGTATGTCTTTCAAAATACTGTTATTATTATTTCATATTAATATTAAATATTCAATAAGGAAGGACATCATTTCAACAATGCTATTGGACTTCTCGTCAAGTACAGAAGGTTTAAGTGAATTAAAGTGTCATATAAAGATTTCATATGTAAGAATCTGTGTCAACATTGTATAACAGTAGGATAATGTTAGCTTATAAACTGATATACAGGTAGGAGATCTGGTGATGCGCATCCACAGGACCCTGCATGACACTGACAGACTAAGAAAGACAAGACACAATTTAGAGTAGTTGAAAGGATTTCTAAAACATAACAAGAGACCAAATTGACTTTTTTCTTGCGTTGTTCTGGCCTCTTGAGACTCCAAAGTACTTCCATGCGGCAGTGTTTTTTCCGCCTGTCCGTCTGCTCCATGTCTCCTTGAACCTGAGAAACCATCAAGTTAGTCGCTGATCAAAGGGCCAGCCTCAATGGCCACAAACACTTCAGACACATCAAATGTGGTACCACATTATTAGCATTGCCTCATCTCCATACAGTGTCACCTCGCTTCTCCGCTTCCAAATTAGACTAGATAGGACAAGGTGAGTGCCGCAACAGAAAAGGGAGGGAGGGTGCCAGGAATATCTCCCTCAACAATTTTTTTTAAGGGATTGACTTCAAACACAAGCGTGATCCACTTCACAACTGGCGTGGTACTTAAGAGTGACTTTGAACTCTTTTCGAGTAAAATGGCCAAATAGTGAAGAAAGAGACTAGGCTGTAATATAGCTGCTGAAGAGGGAGAGTTTAGCAGGAAAGAAAGTTGTGGAAAAAGTACAGAGATTAGACAAATACTGTGTAACATGTTGAGTCAGACAATGAAAGGAGAAACCTTTGTGTCTTTGATGTAATGTTTCTGTCAAAAACCAGAAGGAGGAGAGGAAAAAAAAAAAAAGTAACAAAAAAAACCCCATCTCCTTTGTGTGGAGCTGGATCAGAATAGAATCCAACCAGAAATCTGTCTCCTGTGTATCCCTGACTCTGCATCACCCTCAGCTTTCTAACTTCTTGAATAAATAATTAACACAAAATGACTGTACTATTCATTTTCCTGGTTCACATCCTCTTGCCCCCACACAACCTTCAAAACAGCACAATCAGTGTCGCACTTGTACTTGTCCAGCGTCCCTGACAAAATAGAAGTAATACCAGCCCTGTAAATTTTGCTCACTGAAGTACCCTATAGGAGATACAAACATTTTCAGTTGATCCCACTGTAATTAAATCTGTGCAATCGACACACACACACACACACACACACACACACACACACACACACACACACACACACACACACACACACACACACACACACACACACACACACACACACACACACACACACACACACACATTCTCTGTATCTGATGTCTCCAGCTGTCTCTTTTTCCCTGAACTCTCTCCTCCCGCTTTTCTCTCTGGACAGATTGATTTCTGCCACGGTGAAAAACACTTTTTTTTCACTCCTCTCTCTACACCGCACCCACTGATCAATTTTTTTTCACACTGTGTAAACATTCATTGAGCCATGTGTTTGGAAATGTCATCGCCACTCCGGCCATTGGGTGGGCCATACATATTTCATCTCGTCTGACACCTGTTCGATTTTGTGTCAGCCAGCGATACCATTTCTTGTCCCTTGGAGAAGAAGCCATGAAAAATTAACCATGCACACTTTCTAAAAGTTTCATATCCAATCTCCCAGACCTGTAAATTGGAAGGCACAAGCCAGAAAACTGTAATCTGTAGCTGACATGCAGGTTATGGCTTTCCTTGCCTCTTTTTTGTATTTTTATGTTGTTTTTTTCATTTGTTTCTGTGTTTGTGCTGCCTTTTTGTTAGCTTTCTTTTCTTCTTGTTTACCTCGAACTCTGATTAAGGCTTAGATGTGTCTTGCTTCTTCTCAGTGTGTATGACTCAGGCACCGAAAACCCAAAGAAAATCTTCTTTTTATTTTCAGGTGTACATACACGATTTATACACATATATATTATAGTAAAAAGTTACAAACCAATTGAAGTTTAACTTATGCTAGAAGACAAAAACCATGATTCTGAGTTTTCTGACCTTTTGATTTACATTAATAATATCAGTACTACATGAACTAACACATGTTGTTATTCACAGAGAACATGATCAAGTACACTGGAAGCCCCGACAGCCTGCGTTCCCGCACTCCTATGATCACACCTGACCTGGAGAGCGGGGTCAAGGTTTGGCACCTGGTGAAGAACCATGAGCACGGAGACCAGAAGGAGGGTGACCGCGGCAGCAAGATGGTCTCGGAGATCTACCTGACACGACTTCTGGCTACCAAGGTAAGCCATCTGTGTTTTACAAAATCTTACATTTGATGTATGTTTATTCATTGCTAGTTGGCTTATGATATCTAGTCATGTAATTTATTCATCATGCTAAGTTTATTTGGACGTGTAACGTTGTGCAGGGCATATAAGGCAAAAAGGAGTTTAAATCTGTCCCAACAGTTACAATTTTAACCACTTTATTTGAAAATGTTTCTTTTTCGTGAAGCAGTTCAGAAGGTGAAAGGTTAAAAGGTCACAATCACCTTCACCCTGTGTTACATGACTCACTTTATTTAAATATTCATGTTTACTTTGGATGAGTCATCTCAGTGGAAAAGATTATTCAAATGTATTCCTCTAACCCCTCAGGTGAGAAAGAGAAAATAGATATTATTTGTTTTCTCTTTTCATTGCTGGTTCGTTGATGCAGCAGCATATCAAAAAGGGTAAAGAAGAAAAGACCCATGAAGCTAGTGAAGGTGTTTCTGTAATGAAAAAAAATGATCAGGCAAAAATAGATATGGCTATAAAATGAATATCTTTGAATATGCCTCCCGACAATGGCCTCCAGGAAGAAAAAAAACAAAACGTTAATTTGGTTTGAAGGGAAATGTGACTTTGATCCAACAGCTGAATGCAAATTTCCAATCCACTGCGAATGCACCTCCTCCCTCTTTTTTTCATCAAGACATCCACTCTATCAGACGCAGACAGAGGCGTACAGTGAAGGTAAAAGAAAGGCTACGATCTGACAAATGTTCAGGCTGTAATTTTTGTGATTCAGGAACATTTCAGGTTTTTTTTTTTTTTTTTTATCCACTTCTTGCCTTTGTTTAGCAGTTCACATAGAGAACATCGACTCAGTTCTGTGAATGTGATGTAAATACAGTAGCAGGAGTCTAAGACGAGCGCCTCACAGACGAAAGAAGCAGCAGGAGAACAAACACATCCATTCTTGAATGTTTTGCAATGATTAGCAGACCACATGAAACACATAGGCCACATAGGTTCACAAGCAACACTAATGTCAGTTACTTAGCAATATTTATCTATAGTAAACATTAGCTAGCATTTCCCACCAAAAGCTAGTGGTCATACCAGACCAGTAAGGTTGTACTGGACAACCTCCTCAATGTATTGTAAGTAAGAAAAGTGCTTTTTATTTCCTATGACTTCAACTTTTTAGTTCTTAGAGGAAGAATTATTTCTTTTTTAAAAAGTTAACTTGGTCTTCCTTTTAGAAAAATACATCATCAGCACATGGATGGAGTTAAATGTTACTTAACACTGGTGAACATGTAGTGAAACACACGCAATCACTTTCCTCTGTTTATACGAGGGAGAATTAATGACTGTGCAGATGTGTGGGCAGATGAGCAAAATCAGGTGATCAATTAAAGCAGATAACTGAGGCAGTAACAACAGGGCAAGAGAGGTATGACTGTATCTGTGAAACAGGACATGATGAGCCACATATGAGAGAAACTAATAAACAAACACACTGGAGACTGCAGAACAGGAGGTACGAAGAGAGGACTGAGCAGCGTCACCATGACACATACTGTATAGCCCTCTACACACCTACACACATGCGCACATGTCACCTCTCGGCCTCTGCGGGCTGCTCTATTTCCCTGCCATTATCCCATTCCAGAGGGCAGGAAGGTGGCTTCTGACTGCAGACAGCACATCATCTTTCCAGATGGATTGTTTTTGTGAAATAACCAGTTTATCTTTGCTGGCCATCTCTCTTGGTGAGAAATGATTGGGCAGACAGGCAGTGTAATTGACTGCGTTTGGCTTTCACCTTGCCAATAAATACCTCTCCCTGGCAACGCGGCTGACGTCCCTCATATTAGCTCCATCAGTGTCACTCTGACTGAGAATGGGTACAGGGCGTGTTCATGCGTGTGGAGAGTGGAGGGGGCACAGGGAAGGATTGCATTTTCTATCCTCACTTGTACACTCAAGAGTATGTGTGTGTCCATCTCTACTTCACCACGTCTACTTCTTCGTGTCTCTATTTCTGTTTCGGCACTATCCCCACCGTTGTGATTGTTAGCGTGCCTCTCATTTCAATGTGGAGGCAGATGGCATCAAAACATCCAGATGACACATTGTGTTTCGAGCGTGGTCTAATGACAGGGTAGATGGTCGTGGGGGGGATGTGTTGGCAGTTTCAGCTCCAACAGGAAAACAAGAGAACCCTGTGACGATTACAGTGTTGGTGCATAAGTCCCCCTTGAGATATAGGATGACATAAAATGTCACATCTTCAGTATACATGCAGGTCTTGTTCATCTACACACACGTACATGTGTGCAACACATAAGCTGTTAGGTCTTCCCTTGCCAGCTAATGCAGACTGTCACTTGGAAGGCATGTGGGTTTGATATAGAGATATGAGATTCCATCTTCATAGAAAAACGATAAGCTGTCGGGAATGTGGGCCACATTAGAATTATAGCCGTGATTGTCGGACTAACAGGATTCTCTCCTCCCACTCTCTTCTACCTCTCTTGACTCTGTGATTCGGTCACCCGCTCCAACCCAAATTGGATTTTTATTTGCCAGTGCCTGTACACACCTCATCTGCCACACTCAATGGCCTCTTCTCCTGATAGGAAACCTCTGTCGTTTCATTTCCATCCCTCGCTCTCGCCTTTTCCCGTGCATCCCATCAGCTCATTCTTTACAAGAGGATTAGATTCTCTCACTCTCTGTCTCTCCTCTCTCTTCTCCTCCTCCTCCTTAAAGTCGCCAACATTAAATCAAATTAGGGTCAATGGTGCAGTGTAGGAGCTAATCCGGCAGCACAAAGAGGCTTAGGAGATGCGCCTCCTGTTCCCAGATATTATTAAAAGTCAGCTGTGAAATAACAATTTCCCCCATCAAAGCTGCAAGCAGATTTAGGGGCCGGGTCTGTGAGATAGGAGTCAGACACATAAACATCTCAGCTAGGGGACAAAGTGACATGCACTGCACAACTCATAAACTCACACAAGTAAAATATACACAAGTATTTTCCAATCTTTCTGTCCACATGTTGCAAAATGTATATGACAGTGACAATCTCATTCACTGGTTCTGTGGAGGAAGATTTTCCAAGGTACAGGTTTTGTGATTGTTTCTTAGAAACTTCCTGTGTAGCAGTGGAAACTAAACTAGAAAGAGGAATGCATTTCTACAAGTTTAAAACACATTTGAAAACTTTAATGCACTTTGAGTGGTTGGTATGTTAAAACAATACCTGGTTTAGGGCTTCATGTAATCTTTTTTTCCATCTCTCCTCTCTCTCTGTAGGGTACGTTACAGAAGTTTGTGGATGACCTGTTTGAGACCATTTTCAGCACGGCCCATCGAGGCAGCGCCCTGCCACTGGCCATCAAATACATGTTTGACTTCCTGGACGAGCAGGCCGACAAACACAACATCCATGACCCGCATGTCCGACACACATGGAAGAGCAACTGGTGAGTTTGAGCATCTAAATCTGCACAGGCCTGCAAACACAGAAATGTGCACACACACAAAGGCATAGTTGGCTCTGGCCATGAACCCTTAGGAAACTGGTGAGGCAGTTACTTGGATCTTTGAGGGACACAAAATTTATTTCATTATTTGTAGAGCACAGTGGTGCCTTTGGCTCTGTTTTTGGCCTCTTCTTCCTGCACTGTTGTTTAATGCACTGCAGCCATAATCAGTACATTTTGGCACATTTCACATGGCATTGCCCTGGTTTTGCCCTGTGTCAGTGCCAAGCTTCACCACATGCCTCTTCCCTTCCTAATATCCATTAACCACAGGGGCGTGTAATCTTCATTAAAGCCAACCACAAGGGGCTAATCCAATTGGCTGCCAAGACTCTCCATCTATTATCATGGATAACTGGGCCAAAAACGCCTGTCACTGTGGAAATCTCCATAGTGACAAATGTACACTCCCAGGTGGAGGAAGTGCACCTCTCAATTAATATCTGCTGATTAATTTAGACCATACTGACCTCTGTGAGCCCACCTTAAGAGGTTGGTAGGGGTTAAATAACCAACAGTGCACCAGAACGCGGTGAGGAGAGAAATGAAAAGGTGAAGAAAGGGAAGTGAACTCTGTGGGAGTTAAACGCACACTAATATCTCATTAGCCTCCTGGCCTCTGCCAAGATCCCAGCATGCATCACTCAACCCAAGGGCCAGGGGAACCATGGAGATGGGGAGGATAAAATGGATGTGCATCAAGGGACAAATAGAGAGATGGAGGGTGAAATGGGAAAGGAGAAGCTAAAGAAGGGGGAGAAATATTATTTACTTTACGCTATGGTCCTAATTGTAGTCCTTTCCCGCGTCTGCGTTATTGGGCCATTTGCAGTGTGTTAAGTGTTTTCTGAGAGCACAACGGGTCGCTCTTACATTAGACTTTTAATGGAATAGGCTCTCACTAGAGGGCTGTGAATGAATAGCAATTTATCATAACACACCATCACAAAAAGCCACTTAGATTGCACACAACAGTTTGTGCCAATGCCACCACAGATACCTTCTCTGTGTGAGATGTGCATATGCCTGTGTCTTTTCACTTCTCACTCTGTGTGCTTACCCGTAACCTTTAATCGTCTCAAAAGAGTGCAATCTTGGCTGCCACAAAAGCCTTCATTTTGTCTGGTGGTAGAGAATAATAATGCCAGTGCCCCTCCCATGCTGGGCCCCTGTCCCATTAAACCTCCCAAGCCCATCGCCATCATACATGCCATTAACTTCAAGCCATCACAGCAGCCAAAGCCTCCTGCACCCCACTGCTACCCCCACCTCCCCTTCAGGGTTTCCCCGCCATTAGAGCTCCACTGTATATCCTCTGATATAGCCCTTATGTTGGATTTCCCATCAGCTTGTAGTGCTTCAGGGTCTATGTTGTTAGAAGTTTGATTCTTAGATCAGTGTCGATGTGTAGCTTTTAGACCTACCAACAAATAATTTTAGTTTTTCTAAAACGTCAAAGTTTTATGAACAGTAGGTTTGATTTGGATAACTCATATTCAAATTAAGAACAGTTTTTCTATCTGTGATATCTGATAGCGTGCATATGTATTAATAGTTGTTTTGGCATGATTCTCCCTTGCCTTCACAGCTGTACAGTACATTTTAGATTTTGATTGATTCGGCACAACATCCCCACATTTTAAGACCTGAAAGAGACATAAAGATGGCATCCAGGATTTATTGTAGTCCAGGAAATTATCTGTGACCCCTTACGATCCAAGGTCATCCTTCACAACAGTCTAGTGATAGCAATGGCACTAACTCTACTGCTGCCTGTGCCCCCATTTCATACATGCTACCTTTGTTGCATATTGAGTTTTTTTTTAAAGAAACTGTTCTGTGACTGTGAATTTGAATTGTGCAAGTTAAAATTCAGTCAAAATGTTGGTTGTTTCTGCATTGTGTGCCGTGAGTTGTAATGTGTATTTGTATTCGTGTACAGTAAGTGTGTGCATGCATGAGTCACTGGCTCCTAGAGCCTCTCCAGATGGTATCTTTTGGATTAGCGGCAGTGTGTCAGCGTCTCCTCTCATCCTTCCTCACTCCTCTGTGTTTGGTGTGTGTGCGTGTGTGTGTGTGTGTGTGTGTGTGTGTGTGTGTGTGTGTGTGTGTGTGTGTGTCTCCGTCTGCACCGTGTGTTTGTCATGTCAGGATGCAACAGACAGAATTTTAATTATTATGCAAAACTGGCACACACATTCCTCTTTTCTGCATGCAGATAACCACCTATCTGCTGTCATACAGCAATCCCAGCCCACTCAGACTGTAAATGGCATCAACAAGACACTTAGGGTTAGGCTAATTATCTGGAATCTGTAAAGTTGTACAGTTTGTAATTTTGAGAAAGTTTTCAAATAGTATTTAGTCCTTTTGTCCTGGCACACGGCTTGTTCAGTAGTGGATTGCAACTTGCCATTCACATGTCGTGTCTTTTTGCCTACTGAGGTCCAGTTGGAACAATGCCCAGTCAGGTCACCTTTATAAAGCTGTTAATTCAAACCTTGCGTTGCTGCATGAAAAAGGTCAGGCTTGGTCAGTTCCCTGTCTGTGCTGCAATGCCTCGAATGGGATGCCCTGGATCACAACATCTGTGACCCTTTTCCTGCCAATGGCAAGCAACTTCATTAGGCCCAACTGCAGAAATGGGACAACATCCCACAACTGCAGATTCAGAGGCTCAAAGTGTCAATCTGTACAAACTGCAGGAGACAGACGCGCTACTGAAGGACTACAGGGACTTACTTGGTGTGGATGTACTTGTGTGTTTCTTTTGTTGTCTTCATTTGCAGCATAGTGCCTGTTGAAACATTCAGAACTAGACCCAGTAAACAGTAAATAGAGCTAACAGTGGTGTGATTGTTTGCTGCTTGACAATTATGACGTTTTGTCAATACTGGTTGGTAAGGTTGCTAATTGGTAAAGATTACCAGCTTATTTTAAATAGACAATGTTCTCTGATCCATGAAAGAGACCAACCAATATTTATTAAATAAATCTTCTGTACGAACTGTTGCTCATATTATCAAACTTTTCTTAAATCCATTGGAATTTACAGCACTTTGTAGTCCTAAATCAATGGACAGAGCAATAGTCTTTCAATAAAAGGGCTTTTTCTTACTCCGCCAGCGTAATTCCTCGAGGATAAGAGATGCCCTTGATCTTGGCAGCTGATATTTAACCTAATCCCTGACCAAAAAGGCCGATCATGGCCATCCTTCAGATTCCTAAAACTACTCAGCGTGAGTCAACTGCTGGAGAAATTCTGTGCTTTTCAACACAATAGAGGATATATATATGTTATTATGATGATCAGTTTGAATGTATAAAATCCTGTGGGGAACCTCATTTTTGTTTCCACTGCCCCACTGGAGCAGCACATACCTCAAAGCACAGGGCAGCTGGGGCAGATTGTCAACAATCAAGGGGGCACAGCAGTGGCGTTAATATCCCTTTGATCCCTGCACCTAATCCCACTAGATTCTTTGCCTAGATTAATTTTCAAGTCATAATGCAGTTTTTTCTTCCTCTGAGCCCAAATCCTCTTTTGTTAGATTGTACATCTGAATGGCTTTGTGGGTGGTTGTGCTAGGATAAATGCTTAGTGGGATGGTGGGGAGCACCGGTGATATTTAAATTATTGCATTTCAGTTTTCTGGGTTTTTTCCCCTCATCCTTTGATACTATGCCACACAGAGGCTGGACTGCAGTGTCTTTCTTGTTTGATTTTTCCTGCATCAGCTAAAAGCGCATAGCCCAGAGAATAGTAAAGATATAGAGATCCAAGTAACACTCAGCTCTTTCTTAATACCACCTGAGCCCTTTCACTGCAACACACAGATAAAGCTCGCCCTATATCTATTCATTTTGGCAGAAACAAGCCCAGCAAATAAACAGACTTGTATATTTTTATTATTCTGGACAGGCACAAAATAGAACCCACTTGCACAAACAAGGTAATATGAACTGTGTCACTGTGCGGCCCCCAGCGAGGACCTCTGGACACTGCTGGAAAAAATGAGAGCCAGCCACCACCTGGTTTTAAAGATAAAGGCTTTATTGAATTGAGCACACACATCAAATAGAGCACATCGGCAACAGCAGGGCCTGTGTACTAGCTTTGCAAAGTGAATGAATCCTCGTCCCCCTTCTGGCGCATAATATGCTCATGTCTATTGCCTGACTGTCTGTAGCAAATATAAAAATGACATTTAGGGACTTAATCTCAGAGCAGTTGAACTGGACACAGACTGTTGTTTTACTTTACACTCTTTGTTCCTCTGTTTGCATGCCTATTTGAGCATTCTGTCACTGAGATGGAACTGAACAATCAATGCAATGCAGTACTTTGCAGAGCAGACTACATTAATGTGCCTAAAATGGTATAAGTCATTTTCTCTCATTAGCTCTTTGAATTTTTTTAACAGATGACATTTTGTTTACAGGTTGCAGTACAAATTCAGTAATGGTAAAACGAGTTAAAGCACCCACAATTAGCATTAGCATTTCTTGTTGTAGGAATATGAAATATTGAACTTTCAGGAAAGCCCATTTGAATGGAGATCGCGGCACACCAACAAACATTTGACAGTAATGGAAAAAGTAAAAGTTCTGAACTTGTATAATCACGACTAGTTTGCCCCTAAACTAGTTTGCTCTCTTTTTCTCCCTCCAGCCTACCTCTGCGTTTCTGGGTGAATGTGATCAAGAACCCCCAGTTTGTGTTTGACATACATAAGAGCAGCATCACAGATGCCTGTCTGTCTGTGGTGGCCCAGACCTTCATGGACTCCTGCTCCACCTCAGAACACCGCCTTGGGAAGGACTCACCTTCCAACAAGCTGCTTTATGCCAAGGACATTCCCAGCTACAAGAGCTGGGTGGAGAGGTGAGCTGTGCTGTCCATAAAATGCAGTGTGTGAGTGTGTGTGTGGGTGTGCTGGACACCTATGTGAGTGAAAACATCAGAAAAGCTGCATTAGCCATGTTTCATTCCAACACACACAGAATGCAATGGTAGCGCTGTGATCTATGGGCCATGAAACACAATCCAAATTACAACACAGTGGGAATGGATGGGAGCGCCCAGGGCTCGAGATCTACAGTACGGAGGAGTCTGTGTGGGGAAAAGAGAGAGGGAGAGGAAGCAGTAGAAGCCGGTAATTTGTTAAAATGAGAGTTTTATTAAATTTATTTGTCAGCAGGGGAGGCGCAGAGGTCTTGAATAAAAGATGGGATAGTGTGAAGCGGTCAGAGTATTTATGTGTCGTAGCTTCGTCACGAGGCAAGCCTCAGGATGAGAATATATGTGCGCTGCTTGAATGGGTGGAACCAAATGTGGAGCTTCAGGCTCAGGACCGTACTCATTAGTCCTATGTGCGTTTGTGTCTGTGGTCTGCCATAAACACAAATATGTGTGAGGGTCCTCTGCTGATTCATACATGGATATGTTTGGATACTGTGAGCAGAAAAATGATCTGTCTAGTCAGAGATGGCTGCTGTAGGGGGTAGCACAAGCAGACATTTTAGCCTGTATTTAGTATGTATGTTTAGTAGCTCACACACAGGGTTATATCAGAGGTTTGTGTGTACACACTATTCTTAAAGATCCATGCATGCTCTGGGATTTTCAGAAAATACGGTTTGTCTGAATATCTGTAAAAAGAAACATCCCACTGTCCTGTAGTGTATATAAATCATTCCTGAGTTGCAAGTTTGGGGAAGCAATACTGTCATCAATGAACTCCCCACAGTGGAACTATGTTATTCAGTTGGAAAAGCCTCAGTAACATAGTAATGACTGAGTAAGGGTGGATCTAGTGCTGCTTCACTCTGCTGTCCAACCGTGACAAAGTAAGGGTCATGCCAAGGAAAGGATTTAAAATACAGACTGCAGCAGCTATGAAAGAAGACTGCAAAGGGAGAGGAAAGAAAGTGAACACTGTAGAGGTAAAGAGGAGATGTCCTCCTTGTCTCTCTCCTTCATGCTCCTTTCAGCTTAATTGTAAGGGTAGAACATCCTTACCTGGTGAGCAGGCTAATGCAAACGTGTATCTCAAGAAGGAAATCTGCCCTGCTTGTTCAGTGCTTTTCTGTACAGACAGAACACATGCAGACACTGTGTTTTTACTATGCTTCACTCAACCTACAAAGAAAACCAATTGAAATGCTAATAAATTACACAAGTCAACAATTGGACAAGTATGCACTTTCAGCAGTTTTACAAAGTTTTTTTTCTATCTGGGGTTTGGAGGCAGTGTACTTGGGCAGAGCCATGATATCCCACAGAGCTTTTTACTTGCTACAGTATGTTGATGTTATTAATTTGGGGCTGTGAAGTGAAGCGGACTAGTGAGATACTGACACTTGCCTCGAATTTGATGTGGGAGTTGATGGTCCCCAGACAATGACAAATCCATCACAGCTGTCATAACATTATTTGTTTACAAGGTTGTTTGCATATGGATCAGTACATTTGCAAAGATAACATCAAGACAGCTCATGGTGCAGCTCTTATTATCACTATGCTATAAATATCTAAATTTCATTATTTGGCAGCAGCTTTTGTAAATGTAAGTCAGTAAAAAAAATATGAACATATGTATGAAATATTATTACTATAACATTATACCTCCTAAAAGCAAATTTCAGTGGAACTCCATGAATTGTAGGAAAATATGTATGTACTACATCTTAAAACAGTATAAACGCAGTTTTTACATAGACATGCACAAGACACAAGAACAAAGACTTGAAACCTAAAAAGTTGCTTTAGGTTGCGCAAGTGAAAGGCAGTCTAGCACGGTGATAGACAGCTCATTCATGCTTTACATGCAAAATCAAAGCATATCTGTCCTCTCGGATAAGAGACGGACAGCTGAAATATGTGACTGCAAGCTTTTAGCAGATATGCTTGGGAAAAAAAGCTCAAAGATAGCAGTTCATTTTTTAATTATATTAGTTATTTCCTTCCAGTCACTTTTTTAAAGCATTTGTTTCTAAAAAACCTTTTTCCTAAAACAAGCACACCTGGCCTCTACACGAACAAACCCTGCTAGGAGCTCCCTACAACTGCCCTCCAGCACTGAACAGGTGTTGATGTGTGTATGTGACCTCTGTGCAAAGGTGCAACACCCACCTGCCTTTTTACTTTGCTCAGTTTGCTCTGAAGACTTGCTTCCTGGCAAATGCATCTCTTCCTCATACATGCCCAGAATTATCCAGCCAAACTCTGGGCTTGTCCTCGAGCGGCTGCAGCTACTGGAATTTAATATGTAAATAACCAGCTTTAATTAACATAGTTGATAGGGGCAACACAGCTGCTGCTGACAGTGACTGATTACCCTTACCTCAATGCAGTGGATGTGTTCTGTTGTGATGTTCAAGGTTGAAATCTAAGGCCTGTCAGTGTCTACTATGACTCCATTTCAGACATGTTACTGTGCAACACACTTGTTGCTTCTGTGCTACATTGCACTATCCACATTTAAACACACACACGTTTCTAACAATGTTCTCGACAGTAAACATAGTCCTAACGTGTTTATGCTTTGTTTTATTCCTATTAATAGGTACTACTCAGACATTAATAAGATGCCAGCGATCAGCGACCAGGACATGAACGCCTACTTGGCAGAACAGTCACGGATGCACATGAACGAGTTCAACAGCATGAGCTCTCTCAGTGAGATTTACTCCTATGTGGGAAAATATACTGAGGAGGTATGTAATACTCAGACTTACACTTACATAATGATGACACAGGTGTATTTTAAAACAATTTATACCCACTGATGTTATTGATTTTTTTTGGTAAGAAGAGTTAAAGGAATACTCTACTGGACATTGATTTTATATAAAAATCTACAGTGATATCAATCTAGCAAAGAGCACAAACTAATGAAATGTGCTATTCTGCTTTATATATTAATGAGCTGACCCTACTTAAAATAAATCCTGAAATAAATAAAATAAAATAAAATTTCACCTGAAAACATGTACAGGGGTTTTTTGTCCTGAGTAGTGTCTCAAGGCTCAGGCTGTGTACTCCCTAACACACTCCACCAATCAGATGGTTAGCCTGTATGCAGCCTGAGAGGCAAAGCCCAGGGCAAAATGTAATCACCAAAGCTTATTACTGAATGTTATCTAAATGACTGTATTATCTTCATCAGCTCTCTTTTCTCATTTAGATTATGGTGACCAGACAGTAACAGGACAATTTTGAATTTCTCTCATAGCTGATGGAAATTACACTCCCTGTACACTTCAAAGGTGTCTCTCAAAAGTTTGTAGCTTGCTTCTCTGTGAAGAATGGCAGCTGTACTCAGCTTGTATTCATAGCAGTTACAATGGATTCCAATGCCCATCCATATAGAAACAAAAGGCATCAACATATATGCCTTTTTCCAAAAAAAGTCTTGCCACGCCAATAACTTTGATACTATCCTAATCCTGTTGTGGTTTAGGTGTTTAGAGAAGACTTTATAGACATGTTGATACTTTTTATTCTTGGGTTTGCCATTGGAATCCACTGTATTGTCATCCACAAGGAGGAAGCTACAAGAGTATATGATGTTCAAAAGATTTCCAGAGGAGTATTCCTTTAAGACTTTTTAGAGTTTCTACAGTAATATTGTTATGTTGAGTGCTTTTAGTAATGTGTCTGTGTTTACCTCACTGTCCTGCTGGCAGATTGTGTGTGCACTGGAGCAGGACGATGCAGCCAGGAAACAGAGGCTGGCTTTCAAGCTGGAGCAGGTGGTGGCCTTCATGAGTCTGGAGAGCTGAGGACCGCACTTCCCAGGGCGCACTGGGAAGAGACCCCATCAGAAACCGAGCCGTGCCTGAGCGAAGACCTGTCCCCATCTTTTTCATCATGTGACATCCTCCCTCCGCCTTTCAAAGATGACTTCTTCCTTGACCTTTCTTCTGCTTCCTCTTCCCCAAGAAATATTTTGTTTTCCTCATCCACTCTGCTGCATAGACTAGTTTACCTGAATATATCTGAAGGGTGGTTCGGGGTTGAGGTTGGCGTCTCCCACAGTGCAATGCGGGGGATCCCTCAGCTTCACCACAGGGAGAGCTTCAAGGGGTGATTGCTTGAAAGCTGGCCATATTGGCATACTTCAGTCCCCCTGCTGGAAGAAAAGAGGGGAAAAAAACATTTTTATGTTGCCTTCAAGAATTTACACTGATAGGTAATTCTTTAAAAACCACAATGTTGGGTGTCCATTTTGTTGAGAACTTTTTTCAAAAATAGGATAGAAAATAAAACCATCTCTAGAGTCCAGTTTATTGTAGTTCTATATTCAATATACGGAATCAAGGGGAAACATCAAACCTGATGACTGCAAGCCAAATGAACACCTCTGAAGAAAATTAATGCAAGGATGGTTTGCCAAGTTTACACTGTACCTACAAACGAAGCATACATATCTGCGAAATTTGGGGCGAGTCCAGGCAAACCTAGAATGTTCTTGTGTTCTTTCAATGTAGCTGGAGTTGTATTTAAGAAAAAGACTGATGGGGGTAGGGAAGGATTAGTGCTTCTCTGAACTTCTCCTTTATTGAAATGTGACTGACACTAAAACTTTACAAACCAGAGCATCCCTAATCTATACCCCTTTGCAACATTCGCACATTTTCCCCTGCCCAGCATACATTTACTTAAAAAGAAAATGCTCATGATTTCTGCTTCCATCTGGCTTATGTGGCTACTGCAAAATTAACCTATTAGACAACCCGGAGGCCCCGACCCAAGTTGGATTCTCTGTAAGAAGCACACAACCAACTCTGGAAGACAGTGTTTTGACTGCTAATCGAAACACCAGGAGCAGTCTTTGTCTGGCTCTTGCCACTTCCAATCTTGTGCCGCCACTGCGACGGTCTATCAAAGCACACACACATGCACAGATACACACACAATCAGCAGCTGCCCAAGATCCTGACTGCCCAGAAATCTACGCCAACCCTGGAGGGGGTAAAGGGAAGAGCTGACTGAAATATAATGGGTAAGAAACTGCTTGATCATTAAAAATAAGAAGAATGATTCAATACAGCCAGAGATGGCTGACTGCTCCCTACAGGAGCTCTGTTGTGAGGGTAGCACTTCTTTCCCAGGATGTTCTTATTTAAAGACTTTTGTGTGGAGAAATCAAACAAGATGGACTTAGTCGGTCAGCCAAAAAACCAAAGGAGCTTGAAATTTTCAAAACGGTCAAAAATGTATTTGTAAAGTGCCACTGAGGAACTGACAAAAGGACTATGTAAAAGACAACCACTTCTGGGACAAAAAATATTGTGACTGGAACTTTAAGAAACCTGTGTGATTTTTCTGACCTCAGTGTGTCGAGGTGAGAGGCTCTGTGGGCGAGGTGATCTGATCCTCCTTTCTCTTTCCATCGTCCCAGGTCTCTCCAGCTCTCGGCACACCGTTCACCCTTGTGTCCGGCTCCTGACTTACCAGTTTTCTTTTCTGTTTTGCACAAGCGTTGGAGATGGTAGCTAGTTGCATACGGCAAAACCCCAACTCTTGAGTGTGTAACTGTTGAGGCGCTCTTGTCTGTATTAGTGTAGTTGTCCTCAGTGGCGGCAGGGGGCAGCCTTCTCCAAGCCTCAAAAAAAGAAACAAAAAAAAAGAAAAAATCTGATAAAGCAGAGCAGGAACAGAACAAGATGTGAACATCACGGCAGGATAAAGAGAAAATGATAGACATTAAAAGTATATAAGACTTGTGGAGAGAGCGATTGAAAGAGAGATGATGGAGGCGCCCTCCGTACCTTTTGACCTCTGCCCTTTCTTTTGCCTTGACAACGTGCCCCATGTGGTGATGTGAATGTGTGAAGACCGCCCTAGGTCCACCTTGGGTCCTTTATTGGCTTTTTAAGCGCATGTAAAACGTAAACAATTTAAGAAACTTATTTAAAAAAAAGTGAAAAATAAGAAAATTAAGCCTTGCAATGATGATGTGGATGTGTTCTTTTATCTTTCTTTTGCTTGGAAGAATTGAGATGGAAAAGTGGATTGTTCATGTAATAAAAACTATAACTTTCGTTTAAGGTGGAACCTTTATCCAGTTCAACCCCTACTGCAGAACCTCATACCCATTGTTTTTGTGAAGTGTTAGATGCTAAATAAAACAGATATTATATACCCTTGCATGTTGACCTATTTGGATGGTATGAAATGGAACTGCCTTGCTCAAAGATATTTATATACTTCTACTACTAATAGGGACTTTAAAGTCATTAACAAGCCAATTGTTCATTTTACGAGTATGGATCTCACATAAAGACAACATGAACCCTGTTCTGAATTTCTTGTTCTGTTGTCCCTCCATTGCAGGCCATCTCGGTTTTGTGACAGCTGTGTCTCTGGTTTTAGTTTTGGTACACAGAAGATGCAAGTTGAGTCTTGCTCTGTCTTTGCTGCTATTACATTTTCTTTTGAGAGTTGTTTATTGCATAAGATTGATTAATTCATCATGATAACTGCTTAATTTTTTTTTCTCCATCAGTCGAGCCCAGAACAGAAAAGAAACATTCTGAGTGATGAAGCCCTGTTTTCAAATCACTAAAGATGGGAACAACTCATGAAAACAAACAATTTTATGAAAAGCAACAAAAGTCAGCAGTTTACTTGTGTTCCCTTTCTGTTTTCTTGAAAAACACACAGAAGAAACAACGTATACATGTGATTTATCATACAGATAAACACAACTTTCTAATAAGACAGGCACATTAGGCTTGATAGTAGACTTATGTTTAAGACTGAGTTTGGCAAGTGACTGTTTCTGTTTTAGCTCTTGTGTCAAATGTTTGTGAGATTTCCAAGTCATTGTCCATTAATTACTGTCCGCAGGTATATGATATGATGAATGTCTGTTGTTTCAACTTAGAGGGGTACATTCACAAGGTGTTTGCTGGACAAGTTATGTAGTAAACATATCAATATTATAATAATACATTATTGGAAAATGAGGGGAATAAGGATTGATTTAGCAACTGGATGATTCATTCAAGCAAGGCTGGCATTAATATTGTAAGAAATGTAGTACTGAAACACCTTAAGACAATTTCAAAGAACCTCTATCATTCATGTAGCCAATGCATACTCTGTCTAGATACCCAAAGTTTCCCCTCACAGCCCTGTGTTAATAAATAACACAAGGTCAGAGTCCTTGACTGCCATTGTGAATCTGCCCCCCGATGTAACATCCTGTCTTTCATTTCTCCCTGCCCTGTCCCTTCCCCTGCAACAAAGGTTGTCTCTAGTAGCCACCCTGTGTTGCCAAGAGCACAGATAAAGTTTCCACCTTCAAACGTTTTGTAGGAACTAAAAATGTCCTCCTAGCTCAGTGTTATAGCAGGTGTTACAGAAACATGCTAGAAAAGACTTTTACTAGACCATATTTGAAAGATAAAGAGTATCTTATCGAGAGATAAAAACGAAACCTGGGGGATATAAGGCGAGCTTCTCTAACTTTGTTATAATTAATTGTATACCTGTGTATGTAAATATAATGCATTCCTATTTTGCAGTCAAGAACAAAATACTATTTGTAATATAGAATAAACTTTATTATGAAACCAAGCATTTCATGATTGTTTTTGTTCTTTGTGTCAGTTTGTTGACTGCAGTCTTGTTGGAAGCTAACAGCCACATTTGAAATATACAGTATATATACACAAATTCTAAAAAAAAGACACCAAAATCTGAAATACTATGGTCTGAATCTAAAAGTATTATGGGACAGATTTAGACTTTGACATGCCCCTTACTCCACTGGGAAACACATAGCCTCCTGCAAGATGCACGCTTGATAAATATTTAAGAATCCAGTCAACCTCCAAGACCTCTTCACAAGATAACTGTGGGTGGAGATATGCTGACAGTTTGCTGAAGTCACCAAAATCATAATCATAAATGAGTAAGTTGTTCTGCCCTAACAGGTGCAACAAAACCAGCACAGGAGACTTGGTGAAGCAGGTGCTGTACTGGGCCACAGCTACAGTCTGAAAACACAAGGCATTACAAGGGTTTAAATTAAAGGGTTTGGTCATATTAATCCCAAGCCTTACACACTACCAACCTACATATAATTTATGCGCAGTGTAAAACAGTAACAAGAAACCCACAAAAAATCTGAATTCTTGGAATGTGCTTGAACATACAGACTACACTTTGTGCCACCAATTTTCCTTTCCATCCTAGTGACAGGTGCTATGTCAGCCAGACTGGGTGTTCAGGGATTTTGAGGCCATCTCAGGTCTCCCACTGTCTGGTCCCAGACAGAGCAAAGGAGAATAAATGCACAAAGATGCATAACAAAGAGCCTTTTCTATTGTACTCTGAGATTTGTAATTATTCTTTGTGCTGTCGACTGCATGTCAGGATTCACAAGAAATACTGTACTGTATATAGTAACAGGACAAGACCTCTCGCATGAAAAGAAGGCCCTCTGCTTTTTAGATGCATAATGGCCCAAATCATTTTAGACTTTGTTAAGTATCTAAATTATTCAAATTATAGTTTTATCCAATTAATTCCCAGTCCATGGCCTGATTTTCCACAGTACCACTGGGCAAGATAAAGAAACCAAAGTTTGGAACAAATCTTTGCACAGGGGAAGTCATGCTCTGAGTGCATACACTGAATAGTCAAATTCTGAATAGAACTAGCTCAAAGAGTAAATCTCTAAATAATATGTAAATCAGCATCCAACAGTCATACTGTAAGCCTTCCTTTCTACTCACACAGTGATGACATCCAATTCAGTCCAAACCACTGTCATCATAGTGGTTGAGTTGGTCTTCCAAATCAGTTTCTCTAACCAATGACAAATCCTTCTCATGCTGGGCAAGACCAAAACAAACAAGTTGGGAACAGAGTGAACAGAGCTGGGCCCACAAATCAGCTACAATCAACTGACACTGGGAGACTTGGTTGGTCCGTTAGAAGTAGGGATGGATTGTTTAAATATTTTTGATACTGGTACTAAAATGTTCGATACCAGTTGCTGAACAATACTTTTCCCAATAATTATTTTATAAAATGATTTTTTTTTTTAAAATAAGAAATTACATTTGTGCACTGCTCCTAGTACTTGCCTAGTAGCAGAGTGAGACATCTTACTTTATGTTTCTTTCTAAATCTGTAACACATTTTCTGATACTCCGTAGTATTGAAGCAATTCGGTAGATGCCGTAAAAGTCTCAAAGTTGAGTACCCAGCCCGAGGTAGAAGCAGCTGATAGCAGCAGTAGATATTAGATTTATGCAGCCAGATGTTCATGCGTTCAAGCAGCTAGCATCCTTGAAAATTATACTTCTAAACTACTATTTCTAGCATAAAGTTGTTTTGAAAGCTTCATCCAACTCTTCTCCTTCACCTTATCTTAATGAGTAAAGCTTAAAGACACAAACAGGATTCGGCAGGGCGGAATGTAAATCATACAGATGTAAATTTCAATTTCATTTCCCCAACACTGACAACTTTTCCATTCCATCTGAGGTTTGAAACTGGCTGATGGATTTTTTAATTAATGAGTAAGACTGGCTCACTGGGCCTGGACCTCTCATTGTGTTTGGCTCCAACTCGGCCTATTACTACTCCAAGTGATGCAAATGCTGCTTAACTCCTAATCTAAATTGCAGTAAAATAAGCTCCATGGGTAAATCCATGGATCTTATTTATATTGTCAAGAGGCAGGTTACAAAAGCTTTTCTGGTTTAATGAGAGGTGTTTCCTGACATGATGTAACCCTAGTCATTATAATGAACGGAATTCAAATATCCGCTGCCAAAATAATTAGGAAACAGCAGCACTGGTAAAGATTAGTTGAACCTATAAGCTTCTTCCTCTTGAAGCCGGTCTAGCAGACCTGAAGCCATTCGGGAATCAAAGAGGGAAATCCCTGCCTCTGAGCACATATCAGTCTACAAAGCTTAGCTGTAGTTGTGCAGTAAACACATTGGTTTATTTTACTCTGCAATCTGCATTATTCAATATCACATCAAAGGCAGTAAAAACACACACTTTAATGTACTAGTTTGGGGATTGTACTAGTGGCCCATCAGCTTCGTTATCTCATAAAACACACAGCTTCCATGGCGGACTTTTTGCAACATCAACTTTTTCAACTGGTACAGCTACACAATAAAGAATATCAATATGCCAGCACAACCAGGCCTTCTTAAAAAACACCTTCCCAGACACACACACACACACACACACACACACACACACACACACACACACACACACACACACACAGGACTTTAAAAGTCAGAGGTAAGCTGAAGAAAAAAAAGACAAGTAAATGGAAAACAGGAGTGACAGATGAGGAAATAGAAAGTTCTGCGTAGCCAGGAGGGCAGGGGAGGAGTGAAGTGTAGAAAACAGAGTGACAACCTGCTGGATGAGTATGCCCATAGAGGGGAGGCTGCGGCACTACGAAAGCCTGAGCGGCTGACGCGGGACGAGAGATTGAATTGGCCCAGTGTCACCCTCCATATACCAACCAGTGAACTGGGAGTAATGGGTGAGAAATGGAAAGAGGGAATGTGGAAGGAGAGAGAGAGAAAGAGAGGTAAGGAAAGGAGGGAAGGCCACCAAGTGTCACCCTAATTTTCTGACCAGTGAGGTGGGAATAATGGAAGGGAGGAGAGAGGCAACTCTGAGGGCTGATGGGTTGGGAGAGGTTGGATGGAGGTAGCGAAGGGGGCAGGATGATAGAGAGCTGGCTATGATTGCCTCGCACCGGGGGTGGTTTTCCAGACTCCCATGATCACCAAAGCCCTTTCACCCCAGACCCCCACCTTGCTGTCACACTGATGTGATGCGGCCATGGAGAAATAATAAGAAAAAAAAAAAGAAAAAAGGTTAGAAGGTCTATCCACGTGGAGATAAAGTGATGCACAGATGAGGAGGTGCTGTTGAGGCAATCAGTGTTAGAGGGCATGTGGGGTTACAGGATTGGATAATCGATAAGGCTGAACCCTCCAGCTTTGGGGATTTGAACCCATATCCATCCCCTGGCCACCTCAGCTTAACAGACTTATCTTCAAGACAAGAGACTATTAGATTTACTGTCAACAGAGCAATTCAAAAGATTAATATCACTCTATCAGCTGCCGTGGCAAAGTTCTCTTACAAAGGAAGGCATGTTTGAGTAACAGGTCCAGGCAGGAAACTAATGTTACAGAAAAACAGGATTGGACATACAGCTCAGTCATCTTGGGGTATAAAAACACTTCAAGTTTAGTAATGGTTTGGCCTGGCTAATGGTGCTGTTCTGTCTCATGTCTGTGATGTATATCTAACACTCAGTGGTCTTGGAGCATTCATACGGCAGTGGAGAAGAGGGGGATTTTTCTGACACTTTGAGGTGTCAGATTGGTGCAAAAAGCTCAAATCTTGTTTTATCGTCTTTGTCTTTTTATCTTTTCATTTTCTCAAAAGGTTGTAACATCTTAAGGTTCATTCGTCTCTTACTACTCACACCAAAATGTTTCCAAGCTTTCTCTAATGACTCTCACAGTATGACGGTCGGTTGTTCCTGTGCAATTACTGTTTCAAAAACTGAGCTAATATGTTTTCGGTTTTTGCAACACAGTACTGCCAAAAATCATTTTAATAATCTCGGATGATCTTTATCCTTGCCAAAAACTGTTATTAAAACATCTGGTTATTGCCTGTATTTTTGGAGAGATGTTTCTCTTGTGGCTGCTGTCATGTGGATAACTGGCTGCTGTGTCAACTGGCTGACTGGCAGGATGGGTGAATTGATGATAGGAGCGCAGCTTGGACACTGGTTGACGGGTCTAATTTCAGCAGTGGACTCAGAGATACTGACAACTGTACGCAAGCAGATGGGAGCTATTACCGATATTAGTCCATTCTCCTCCGTCTGCTCTATCTTAGTAAACATTTGTGTTGCTGGTGGCAGCAGGGATGGAGTGGGAAAGAAATCAGACGGACTCAATGCCACAGCCAGAAACTCCCTAACCACTACAGATGGAGAATGAAGATACAAGTCTGAGTCTGTCAAAAGGTTTCAAAACAAAGCGTTTGAACATTGAAGTAACCTTCAAGCTGAAACAAGGTGTGCAAGTCTGCTGGAGTCATATCAATGGTACAAAAAAGTGTGTGATAATTCTTCTTGAGGGTAAAAGCTTGGATCTGAGTCTTATTAAATGACTCCCCCTGTTAGCTAATAGTAAGTGATTATTATAAATTAACTGAATAAAATAATTTCTATTTATGCTCAAATTGTGATACGCAATTGTAAACAAATCTTAGAAACTTCCTCTCCAAACGCAACGCTCCTGACCACCACCACCTGCTAAATCAGCGGCACGGTACAGGGTCTAGACGTGTCCTGTTATGCTAAACATTGCCATTGATTTTACACAACCCTGCCTCCTCATACAAACACAAACACAAACACACACAAACACACACCCACACACACCCACACACACACACACACACACACACACACACACACACACACACACACACACACACACACACACACACACACACACACACACACACACACGACGTACACCTACACATACACCATGCTC